TCCACATCAGCAACATTTTACTAGTTAACCACTTTTTGATATCTTTCAAAAGAAGTGAGATATATAGGCTCAAAGTGGACGATCCGGGTGTCGTTCTATTAGAGGTTTTACGGTATATTAATCCAAATGCATACAACCATCCGAAAAAGTCAATATAATTGAATTTTTAGCAAAAAAAAATCAGACTTCATTAATCCAAGGATGAAACTTTTTTTCTAATTACGACTTCAAAACAGTTTTTGTCGACAGTATCGGCCTCTAGTGTGGATTTTCATTCACTAAGAAGAAAAACCATCTTGAAAAATGATGATTCGCTCTAAAATTTCAAAATTTTCAAAAAGCGGGCCGGCCATGTGTAATTTTTTCCGGCCCGGCCATTTTTTCCACAAGTATCGTTATTTTAGACTGCCAGTATGCCGTCCAGGAGGAATCTAGGTTTTCAACTTCAGGTCCTGAAGTCTGACTAGGCATTTTCTGGCAGGATTATGCCATTTCAATAGTCCGGTAGTACCCGACTAACTATGGACTGCATATACTACTGCATATAGTACTAGAAGCCATTCGGATTGCTCTGGGACGTTTACAGGTCGTAAAAGAGTCACTTCAGGAGGGCTGGAGACTGATCCTGTCTACTAAAGTCTGATCCTGTCTACTAAAGTCTGATGGATGCTCAGAGCCGCCAGATGTGCTCTAATCGTTCCAAATCGATCTGATACGATCTTCACAGGAACCCTAGTCTCCTCCCGGTACAGCATTATGTCAATTACGTAACACCCTCCCTCTCTCACACCAACGACAACTGTTGCGTGTATCGCGCTCCATCTCAACAGGCCATCTGCTCATCCAGCGCGCGGGGGATTCGAACCGCCCTACCATTGATTTTACCTCCAATTAGCAATTCCCAATTCTCCAGATGCTCCAGAATTCCCCAGTCATTTGTACCCTACCACACCCTTTTTCAACCTACACCGCCGCAATTCTTCATTGTTTTTTTAAAACCTGAATTCCCTAGTCACTTGTACTATATTTCTCGTTGGTTTCCTCTCAAAATTAGTTCTCAACAATTTCAATTTTTCTTATCTAATCTTATAACCTTCAGAATTCTATAAAATGGTTAAATCCGCTGCTGCTGCTCCTACTACCACCACAAACTCATCCACTTCAATGATCGGCAATGCCATCGACTCAGTCATCGGAGCCATAATCTATTCCAGCTTCATCGTGGCCGGAGCCATCGTTTTCGTCGGAACCCACGTGGAGAATTTCATTGGTCTTCAAGACACCGAAGACGAGTGGACTATCGTCAAGTAATTTATTTATGATTTTGAGAGGTTTTTGTTGTTCTTGTTGTATGGAAAGTGATCGGAGATGAATAAAATATTGATGTTTCTAAATAATTTCTTCTCTTAAGTCTGTATCTCAGACCATTCTGAACAACATAAAAGAAAGTCCAAGTTATTTAGCTTAAATTTTTGGATATCAGTGAACCATTATTGAGGTCCAAAGGAATTATTTTTCAAGTTGATTAAACTGTCTTTTTAGGCTATTTCAAAATCTTTGAGACAGCTTTTTAGACCTTTTTAGCGATAAACCAATCCTCTACCTTATCGACTTGGGGTTGCGCCGGCGGATTCTCCTTCAACTCTTCGTCGGTGTACTCGTTGGCGACGAACCATCCCATGTTGATGAACTCCTGCTCGTTGTATTTGCAACGCAGAAGGAGCACACTGACACCGACAATGTCGTCCGTCGGAATCTTGGCAATGTTTGGATGATCGGCGTCGAACACGAACTTGTGACGTCCCTCGGGAATCGGTCCGACGAGCGCCGAGTCGAGCACTTGATCGTACTCCCGGGAAGTGCCGGAGCCGACGTAGACGAGCTCCCATTCGAGGTCTGGAAGAAATGTGAGGATTTTTGACTGATTTTCAGGGTTCTAGGTTCGATTTGATTATTTTGAACGTATTTTTGAGCCGTTTTCATCAAAGCTAGCTGAAAAAAAATAGCTCAAATTGCCCAGATTCGTCTATGTACGAAATTCGATAAAATCTATCATAAATTCGCCGAGAAAAAGACTCGAAAATTCGAAAAGCTGTTTTCAAAACCCAAATTTAACCCTGGATTCCCTTTTTGAGGCTTGAAAATTATTTTTAGGACGAATTTTGTGAGTTTTGAGTCATTTTCAGCCAAAGTTTCCAGTTTTCAATCACATTAAGGTCATTTTAAAAATCTCTAAAATCAAATTCTGATCCGAAATTTTTTGGGTCATTTTCGTTCAATTTTTTCGAAATTCAGTTTTCCTTACCATGCGGAAGGTGCTCGAACACCTCAAAAGTGATCTCCAACTTGAATTTATCGTTGAACATCGCCGGATTGTCGAGATGCTCGACACGAACGATATTGACACGAGACGCCATTTCTGAGGGGTTGAAATTTGTTTAAAATCGTTAAAAATCGACCAAAAAAGATATAAAACTGCAGAAGAGACAGTAAAAAAACGTATCGAAATGAAGGAAAATTTAAAACGGTGTGCATTCTTCATGAAGAGTAATAAAATGAGATTAGATCAAAAGGTGCGAGATTTTCTGTGCAAAATTATACAAATTGGGTAGAACGGTTGTTTGAAAAATGCATTTCTATTCCATAGCCGTCGTCTGGATAGCTCGTAGAGGTGTTCGTGGTGGCACTACAGAAACCGACTCTTGGAATTTCGGTCCAGATTTGATCAGAATCTCTCCATAAGGCTCCGATTGTTCCACTTGAATCGCTTGAGATTTCGCCAGACTCAACAGTGAATAGAATTGCTCAGCGGCCTGTTTCCGATTCTTCGCCGTCGCTGTAATTGACGAAAACTCGGCTTTTCCGCTCGTCTCAATGTCTGCTGACACTTTTTTGAGAATGTGATTCGCTCGTTTCGTCCATTTTCCTTCGTCATCGATCGTCGTTGTGTTGGCTGGAGAGGCACCGAATCCATAGGCTTCTAGGCGGCCTTTTTTGCTAGAAATGGAGGAGCCGAACGGGTCCGACCAGTCTTCCTCGTCGTCGTTTTCCTTGTTCTGGAACTTGGCGATAGTTAAGATTTTGGTTGCGGATAACTCAAATCAGTAAATTTTCAAATACAAAAATGGCGAGATTCTTGAAAATTAGGAATTTTCCGGTCAGAATGGCACTAAAGTCGTCATTTTCAGGAATAATTTGCATTTTTTCTTCCAAAATTTTGTATTCTGAATATTCCAAACTAAAACTACCTCTTCATTTTTTCTGGGCACATCCACATCCATCGCCATCTCATCCCTCGGCGCTTCAAGTGTCCGATCGAAATTCAATGGTTCCGGATAGTTCTCTGGCTCGAATCTTCCTCCACCCATATCCACGTCATCAAAAAAGTCATCCATCGGTGCAGGACCCGCCGCTACATTCTCAAACTCTGGAATATTCTCATTCAACTCCAAATCCTCCCACGGAGCCGCTATTGATGGTGTCAAGCTAGAGCTATCGCCACTGAGCTCTTGCATTGTGAAATTTGGATCGAACTTTCGCGTTGTCAGACACTTTCTGTATTCCGCCAACAGTTCTCGATTCCGAATCCCGGTACCCATTTGATTCATGAGATATGGCAAATCTCCTGTGACACACCATTTGAGAGTTTGTCGTGATGGTGGCGCCAGACTACTAGGCTTCAAGGTATCCGTGAAATCCTCTTGCTGCTTTCGAAACGCTTCATCGGAAATCTTCGTTTCCACATCTACCAAAAGTTTTCTAGGCTTTCGAGTACGCTTCTTTCTTTCCGCTTCCATATGTTCCAAATCCAACGGCTCCAGTGCAAACGATTCCGGACTAACTGGACGTGCTGCAGCAGGCTCCTCAGCTTCCGGCTCAAAACCAAAATTATCATCTTGATATGGCCGATCGTGTACAATAGAATCAAAAAGTTCCACTGGGTGTTCATAATCAAATTCTGGGTCATTAGAGAGAGGCTCCTGCTTGATTCCTCCGAAATCCAGTGGCTCCGCCTCCAACAAAGTGGTCCCATCGTCTCTTCCAGTGACTCCAGTCAAATTGATCGTTGCATCACGAGCTCTTTCCATTTCCATTGGTGCATCTGGAATCGGTGCCATGTGCTCGGAGCCCATATCTAGCATTCCCATTATGGATTCTGGAGTTGGCGTTGGTCGGATTGACGGCGGTTGAATAGATCCGTAGAGTTGTTCCAGTTGTGTTAGGTCTCCTTCATCACCGAATCCGTCGTCAATGTTCGCATTGATCGGGTCGTTGAGATTGACGTAGTCGTGGAGGGTGATGTCTTCGAGACGGGCTCGGTTAGCCTGGAATAATGGGATTACGAGGGTTTTTAAAAGATCAGATGATTTTCTAGTTCAAGAAATATTCGAAATTGACGATTTCCGGGTGAAATTGGTTCGAAACTGAGGACTCAAAATTAGTGATTTTTCAAGTCAAAATGGCTCAAATGTGATAATTTTTAGGGTCAAAATGACTTTAAAAAAGGTGATTTTCCAGGTCAAAATGACCCAAAGTTTTAATTTTCAAAGATTTTTGCTCATTTTTGCGCTTTTCAGAAATTTTTAATCTTCAACTCACCAGCATAAGCTCTACATTATAATCTCCCTCGTGAAAGTCTGGAACAGAGATATTATGACCATCAATCGGGAAATTCTCATCGATTTCGAGATTATTCAACGGCACATCGGCCTCCACAGTGAATCCGTCGCGGAAGTTGACTTTCATCTAAAAAGACAAGAATAACCGGATAATAAAATCTTTTCAAGGTCAACAATATCTTTCTGATAAAAAATGCCTACCTTGAGATAGGCCTCGTTGGTGTCTGCAAGAAGATATCGTGTCTTTTTCGAGTAGATTCTCACGATGCCCAGAAGAAGATGTCCAACTGTACGGAGAGCCATTTTCACCTGAAAAAAAATCTTTTTCGATTTTTTGTTCGAAATTTCTTCTAGACCTTTGGATGAATAACTTCTTCGATAGCTTGAGGAACATCTGTTTCGTAGATCTGCGCTTTGGTTAGTTTCTTTTCCCAGTGAGCTGCTAGCCAAATTTTGGCCAGTGGGCCCTTTTTGGCAAGCACAAATTGTGCATAGAACATCTAGAAGCATGAAAAATAATGAAATTCATTGACTTTTGACAGAAAAACATGAAAAAACAGCTGAAAGTCATGAAAATGGGTCAGCCAATTCAAAAACGGCAGGTTTTACCGCAAAAGCGCGAAAAAACAATTTTTAAAAACAACCAGTTTCCGCGCCAAGGTTTCGCCGCGATTTGGGTTACGGTCGCAGTTGTTTCAACTGTGCGAATTATCATTCAAATATTTTGCTGCAGCAAATTGTCATCTTCTCTTGTTTTTCCAAAATAAAATCCAATTTTCAGCCGATTGTTTCGAGTTTTTTAAAAAATTATCAAAAATGATGAAAATTACTGTTTTTCAGCTAAAAATTTGCCAAAAAATTTATGTCTCATATTGCTTTTTGTGATTGTTTTGCTCGAAATTCTCCCTTCCGATTTTTCCATATTTACCTCTTTGGATAACCCCAATTTTTTTTCAGAAATGGCCGATAAGCGTGAGCCAATTCCGGTTGATCCTGTCGACATCGGCGAGACCACCGATCTCGACAGTTTGGCTCATTTGGCGGCTCATGTAAGTTCGAAATTCACTTTTAAAAAGACTTCAACTCATTTTTTAATCTTTTCAGGGCGGAGATGGTCGTCTTTTCAAAATGGAGCAAGATTACACAAAACAAGTAGACGAAGCGCTCCTCAAAGCTCGTGATCTGGCTCAAAAAGATGTTCTCGCTGCTGTAGAGAGTCTTAACAATATTGAGAAGCTCACTCGTCTTGGTGCAGATATGAAGAGCAATACTCGTGTTGTTCAGTACATGGTAACTATTGATTTTTGAGAATTTTCCCATAAAACTTTCAAATTTTTAGACCAAACTTTGCTTCGAAGGTCAAAAATGGGATCTTCTGATGGAAACTATCATGACACTCTCCAAGAAGAGACTTCTCATCAAGATGGCCATCGCCAAAATGGTTCGTGACGCAGTCGCCATGATAGATAAGATGCCAAGCGACGATCTCAAAATGAAACTCATCGAAACCCTTCGCACTGTCACCGCTGGCAAAATCTATGTTGAAGTTGAGCGTGCTCGTCTTACATCTATGGTTGTCAAGAAGTTGGAAGCTGAGGGAAAGCTTGATGAGGCCGCTACGATGCTTCTCGAGCTTCAAGTCGAGACATATGGTTCTATGGAGATGAAAGAGAAGGTTTCCTACCTTTTGGAGCAAATGAGACACTCGTTGGTTCGCAACGACTACGTTCGTGCAACAATCATTTCCAAGAAGATTAACATTAAATTTTTCAACAAATCTGACGCTGAGGATGTGCAAGATTTGAAGTTGAAGTACTATGATTTGATGATCCGTATTGGACTCCACGACGGAAACTATTTGGATGTCTGTCGCCACCATCGTGAAATTTACGAAACCATAAAGATCAGAGCGGATCCGGCAAAAGCGGCATCGCACCTTCGCTCGGCTATCGTCTACTGTCTTCTGGCACCTCACAACAATGAGCAATGGGATCTGTTGAATAGAATTGCGATTCAGAGAGAATTGGAAACAGTTCCGGACTACAAAATCATTCTCGATTTGTTTATCAATCAGGAATTGATTTCTTTCAAGGGAACCATTGTGGCTCAGTACGAGAAGTTGTTGAGACGTGGAACACCGACGTCTCCAGACACTGGAATCTTCGACAAGTCGCAGGAAGGAGAAAAGCGGTGGTCGGATTTGCACCTTCGTGTTGGAGAGCATGTAAGTTTCATAAATTTCAACATCGTCGAAAAAAAATGGCGACCAAAAGTATCTCAGAATCCCGTTTTCCCCAAAAATCTCGCTTATGATTTTTAACATTGAATTCTTCGAATTTCAGAAAATTTTCTGAATTCTATTAATAAAAATCGATTCCAGAACATGCGTATGATCGCCAAATACTACACCCAAATCACATTCGAACGCCTTGCCGAGCTTCTAGACTTCCCAGTTGACGAGATGGAATCCTTCGTTTGCAATCTCATTGTCAGCGGCCAGATCATCGGCGCCAAACTTCATCGGCCATCTCGTATCGTGAATCTGCGTTTGAAGAAGGCAAATGTGGAGCAGTTGGATGTTTGGGCGAGCAATGTGCACAAACTGACGGATACGTTGAACAAAGTGTCCCATTTGATTCTCAAGGAGCAGATGGTTCATAAGAATTTGGATCTCTCGGCGGCGCCACGTGCATGAATATAACTGCCTTTTGTGTATATTTCGGTCTTAAAATCCCCACTTTTTTTTTGAATGTGCATCCTCTCTCTCTCCCATCGATTTCCGGTTTTATTATTAATTTATTTACTGAAACTTGTGTATTGATTACAGCGTCTGACTTGAAATATAGCACAATGACATAATTTCAAATTAAAAGTTTTTCCAGGTCCAAAAAATTCGGAAAGTAATTTCTCAAATGAGAAACAAATTTGTTTTGCGAACTTCACCTAAAATTTCAAATCCAAAAAGAAAACTTTCTAATAAAACAGGTTTATTGGTTATTTCCAAAAATCACTAGGGGTTTTAATCTTGACATGATTCCTTAAAAAACCGGTAACACGAGAGCACAGGATTTAGAAAATAATATGGTAGAGGTATATGATATGAGCTCCGGGATAGTAAGGAAAACAAATGGCAAGGCGGATAATTTTTGTAATAAGGGAAAACGGAATTTAAAAAGAAAAGGAAAAATAAGGTTAACTGAATATGATGATGATCCGTATTGGTGTAGAATGTCTAGCGAGTTTCTGTTTTCTAAGGTTCTGTGTTTTGTCTGTTAATTCTGTGTCAACGTTTCTCTATCGCCTTTGCGCGAAAAAGTTGAACAATCTCGGTTTGTATTCCGGTGTTTTATGAATCACTGTTTTGAAGAATTGATCCATTAGTTTTTCGAAATCATTGAACGTCGGCATGAAGTGCATCGTTTGGCCAATGGCGGGCTCTGAAAATTTACGCGGGTCTGGATTACGGTACCTAAGCAACAGGAGGAGGGGATTCTCTCCCTAGGGAGGTATCACAAGAACGGAGTTGGATGACATAGGGGGCGATAATGGGGTGGGGCATGTTCTAAAAACCTATATCAACTTCTTTGTATTGGAAAAATTCGCGGAACATTCCCTCGAGCACTTGTTCTTGCGTTTTTCGGTCCTTGATGCCGTGCAGGTGGAGGCTGAAAGAAATTTTCGAATTTTTATAAAACTTGGGAATCTTTAGAATCATCTACTCCAGAATCCGTAACATTTTTTCAGAAACTTCTAAAATGTCATAAAGCTCTGAAAAAAAACTTTAAAACTTACAATGAGCAACCTCGATTCTTTTCGCACTTTCCGTTCAGCTCAAACTTGCACATTCTGTACAACAACTGACGACACTCTTCAGCACGCGAGACCGCCGTCGTCGATGATGGTGAAGCCGTGGTGACAACGGGCTCCGGACTATCGTCGTTTCGTGGACTCTTACGCTGCACTTTGTTCAGAAGACGTGCACGCAATTCCAGCTCTATTTTCTTGTTGGGAGCTGGAGAGGCTTCTGGAACAGGAGCAGCTGGTACAGAAGCTGGGACAGGTGATGACGCAGCTACTCCATTCTCATCTGGAGACGTTGGGAGAGACGGCGTCGGGGCGGGTGCGACGACTTCATTCTCATCTGTATCGTACTCGTCTTCTCCTTCTACAACTTCGCACTCTTCTTCCTCTTCTCCATTCTCAACGTTTTCACTTGTTTCATTTCCTGAAAAATTAAGAATTTCAGATTTTTTCTTTGGAATTCTGTGATTTTAAATGACAAATTTAGAACTGAAATTTGCTAAATTCAAAGCTTTAAAAACCTACCATTCGAGGAATTGAATGATTGCTCAGCTGTTGCTTGAACATGCTCCATGGCTCTCGCCTCGTGTCCCCCTACTTGACGCGGGACTTCTGGAGCCGACAAGGCTTCTGGAGCTGCCAAACGAGCTGGAACGACTTCTGGAGCAGCCAAGGGTGCTGGTGGATTCTGAGGCTTCAAAATTCCGTTCTCATTAGTTGCAGGCTCTTGCTTTGGAATTTTCTTCTCAACAAATTCCGCTTTTTTCACCGTCGCAAAGAATATAACAGGGAATCTGAAAAAAAAACAAAGATTCTAGAAGATTCTAGAAAGATAACAACTCACTCTTCCACATCAATCTCCTCCATATCATCAATGCTCATTTCATCAATTGCCGTCTGCAATTCTCGCTTCTCAATCAGCATTTTCCTCATTTCCTCTTTCCCATTCTTCGTGTCCTCAATACACTTTTGGCGGAGTTCCACAGCTTCCTGGTTCAATTGCTCAGCTTTTTTGGCCAGTTCTGCGGCTTCTGCAGCCATCGTAGCAGCTGTTTTCGACTGTTTCGCTGCGTTAGACACTTTCTCACGTTGCAATCGGAATGATTCCTCTAGCTCCTTCATACGCTGGTCCAGTTGGGCTCTTCTTTCCTCTCGGGTGAGCTGTGGAGCAACCGGAGCAATCGGATCAGCCGGTGGTGGAGTCAAAGGAGTTGGTGACACTGGAACAGTTTCTGGGACAACTGCGATAGCTGGAGCTGCCTGACCAATATTGACTTGTATTTTCGGCGCTGGTGGCGGTGTTTGTACAGGTTTCTGAGCTCCAAACGCGTTTTCAGCTGATGAAGATAGCCTCGAAGAATTCTTGCGAATTCGTTTGGCTTCTGCAGATTGTTTTGATTTCTCTGCAGTTCGTTTTCCGGGTTGTTTGATTTGTGCAAGGAGAAGAGCTCTCAATGATTCCTCGTCATCGTGGATTCCAGGTGGATTTGATGGCGCTTCCAGCACTTTTGAAGGCGTTGGCACAGGAGTTTTGGGGAGCTGAGGAGGTACTGGAGTAGCAGTAAGCACTGGTGTAGTTGAAGGAGGTACAGCGTTCAATGGTATATGCACAGGTGGCTTCACAAATGGATCAATTTGAACGTAGGGTGGCTCTGCAGGTGATTCCACATCCATAAACACCTCATCGTAGTTGTCAGAAGGAGTACGCCAGGACGTGTTGGGCCCGTGAATCATTGGAGATTGCTGGTGAATTGGTGGAGGAGGACGGTGAATGGGAATTGACATAAGGTTTGGAATCGGTGGGTCTTGGAAATAGTGAAATGGGACCCGAGAGACCATTCCTGGAGGTGGTGGTGGTTGGTAGAAGTCACGGTTGTGGTTGACTATGTTCTGGAGACGAGTGATGTCTGGACTCACAGCCTGAAAAAAGTATTTTGGTGCGAAAAAGCCGGGAAATTTGATTTTCAGCATTATTTTTTTGCAATTTTTCAGGTCCGAAATGAAAATAGCAAAAACCAAAATCCAAAACAACGCATTTCTAGAGGTGTGGCGGGAATTCAAAAATATTATAAGAACCTTCCAGAAGCTCGCAGAAATGGGATTTCTCTCTTAATTTTTATAATTTCCCTACCATTTGCTGTATTTGCATATGTTGCTGTTGATGCTGCTGCTGATGCATCATTTGCTGTGGTGATGGTGAATTTGGGATTCCAAAAATCACAGATTCCGGTGGCGGCGGTCTACCGAACTGATTTCCACCATTATTTCCACCACTGTTTCCTGTAAGATCGATGCTTGATTTCTCGAAAAAACCTGTTCTTGTCAGTCGACACACCACCACCGCACACGATGAAGAAGCGGCCGTTACAGCGTGTATATTCGCTTTTTGCCACCATCGAGGTTGCCAATAAAATTTATTAATGAGCCAACTAACCATTTGTGTGCCATGACGTTGCCATCATGCCGGCTGGCTGAGGTGGCGCTTGATTCGAGTTACGCTGTCTGCTACGACGTTCTGAAAAATTGAAAATGCGGTATATCAAGGATTTTCCGGAAAATTACCTGCTCTATTACTAGGACGTTGAGATTGTGGTTCCAGTCTCCTTATTCTTTGAGCCGATCCATTCTAGATTATTTTTGGGGTGATACTTTTGGAATTCAGCGAATAGAAAAATTTCAAAAAAGAAAAGAAAAAAACAACTCTAAACCTCATTTTGAATAATCTGATCAATTAGAACTTCGTCATTGAAATCGCCTTGTTCTGGACTTTGTTCTTCACTGAAAAATGATTTCAGGGAATTATTCAACGAATCCTTCCGGGAGTTTTCTCACTGCTCGGATGCGATTTCTCCGTCTTCCAACGACTCAGTCGACATTTTTCCGGGATTATTTTTCTCGGATTTCTCTTATAAAACTTTACCTGAAACTGCAATAAATCCCTAGACAAAAAACCGACGAAATTTGCGCGATTTCTTTCTGCAAAATTTGAGATCAAGATTTAGAAAGTTTTCAACAGCGCCTGACACACTGAAAATGCGAGAGAGCTCGTGGAATGAGGAGTGTGCCGGCTGGAAAACTGAAATCGCGGTGAGACCCGCGAGGGTTTGGCGCGATTTACGGGTAGCGACTTTCAGACATTTCCAGCGGTAAAGTGGTGCATTTTCAGCAAAAATCGGACATTTGTTGCAGTTTAAAGTATTAAGAATTGTTTTATGTGAAGCTGTGAACAACAAAGCAAAAAGAAATGGAACCTTTCAGCAGGAGCTAAATTTTTCAGCGGAATTTCATCAAAATTTCAAAAAAAGAATTCAGGATCCATTCGGCGATGCTTCTTCTCGTTTTTTCATTTAATAAATTCTATGATTCGTGTAAAGTTATTCATACATGAATAAAGTTCAGATTATTTGAAAGATTAAGCTTTTTTCCATGCATAAAAAGTATGTTTTAGGAGCTCAATTTTTGATTATTTTTATCTCCAAATTGCCCCAGACATTTTTTTGACCTATTTAATCGAAAATATTTGATAAATCCGCGAAAAAACGTCTTAATCAGCGCGAAAGTTTGCCGGAGATCTAAAAAGTCGGCTACGAGACAGTGTGTGAATTGGAGAGAGCATGGCTTGACAGAGGTAGATCGTGGCGAGACCTTGCAGTCCGAGTACGGTCAGTGAGAGATAGATGAATTTTTCCATGCATTTTCCGAACAGCACACTGGTTTTCTCTGGCTGTACGTGCGTGATGTTCATTATTTATTCGGTGGAGAATGAAGACGTCATCTCTTCTGACACCTTCATTGATTTGAAACTAAAATTTGAGATTTTTAGCTGAAAAAATGGGTTTTAGGCTTCAATTTTCGTCATAATTTTCTTAGTCTCCTCTGCTTTTCGTTCCTTAAAAATTCATTTTTCAGGGTTATTTAAGCAAAAACAAAAAGAGAATGTCCGACGCCGCAGCCACCGCCTCCCCAATCGCTCCACCACCAGCCTCATCCACCACGCCAGCCGTTCGCCGTGGTCTGGTCAAGTCGGTGCTTTCAGGAGACGCCGTCATTCTTCAAGGACAGCCACAGAACGGACCACCACCAGAGTGGACTGTCTACCTGAGCAACGTGTCGGCTCCGCGACTCGGGCGCCGTCCAACCGACTCTGCACCAGCCACTCCAGACGAGCCATACGCCTGGGAAGCTCGAGAGTTCCTCCGTGGCAAGCTCGTGGGACAGTTCGTCACATTCGTTAGAGACTTCACCGCCACTTCTGGACGTGACCATGGACGTGTCTATTTGGGAGGAACCAGCCCAGCTGACGCAGAGAATGTTGCTGAGGAAGCAGTAGCTGCTGGTCTTTTGGAAGTTCGCCAAGGAAAGATCACTGAGTGAGTTTTAATATGAATTCGTTTTAAGAAAACAAGTATCTCGATTTCAGTGATTATACCACAAAGCTTCTCGAACTCCAAGAGCAAGCCAAAGCATCAGGAAAAGGAAAATGGAGCTCCACTCCTGGAACCATTCGTGAGATTCGTTGGGTGATTGATAACCCACGTGAGTTGGTCGACAAATACGCCCAGAAGCCAATTGACGCTGTCATCGAGATGGTTCGCGATGGATCTACCGTTCGTGCTTTCCTCCTTCCAAACTACGAGTACATCACTCTCCAACTTTCCGGAGTCCGTGCTCCATCAACCAAGAATCCAACTTCCCATGATTCTCGCGCCGAGCCATTCTCAGAGGAAGCCAAGTTCTTCGTCGAGTCCAGACTTCTCCAGCGTGACGTGCAAATCATTCTTGAGTCCACTTCCAACCAGAACTTTGTCGGATCTATCATTCATCCAAAGGGAAACATTGCCGAATCACTTCTCCGTGAAGGATACGCCAAGTGTGTTGATTGGAGCATCGGATTGTGCACAGGAGGAGCACAGAAGCTTCGTGACGCTGAACGACAAGCCAAGGAGAAGAGAGTCCGCCTGTGGAAGAGCTACACACCAGCTGCTTCTGGATATTCCGGAGATCGCAAGGCTTTCAGCGCCAAGGTGGTCGAGGTCGTTCTCAATGACGCAGTTGTGGTACAAAAGGAGGATGGAACTGAAATGAAGCTTCACCTCTCCTCAGTCAGACTTCCAAAAGAGACTGCAGAAGACAAACAGCCATCAGTTGGCCGTCAATTCCGTCCACTCTACGATGTTCCATTCATGTTTCAAGCTCGCGAATTCCTTCGTAAGAGAATTCATGGAAAGAAGGTTCAAGTGCAAATCGACTACGTTCAACCAAAGACAGACAACTTCCCAGAAAAGACCTGCGCTACTATTAAGCACGGAGACCTCAACATTGCCGAAGGACTTATCAGCCGTGGATTGAGCAAGGTTGTCCGTCACCGTGCCGATGATGAGAACCGATCCTGCGAGTATGATCTTCTTCTGGCCGCCGAAGCTAATGCCGAGAAGGGAAAGAAGGGATTGTTCGCTGACAAGACTGCCGAGAAGAAGGACACTCTCAGAATCCAGGAGATCGCTGGAGACGTCGCCAAGTCCAAGCAGTTCCTCCCATACCTTCAGAGAGGAGGAAGGTAAGTTGTATTCTTGATTATGTGAATAGTTCTGATAAACGGTGTTTCAGAGCCGAAGGAGTCGTCGAATTCTTGTCCGGAGGATCCCGTCTCCGTATCTACATTCCAAAGGAAACTGTTCTCATCACCTTCTTGCTCGGAGGAATCAACTGCCCAAAGGGATCCCGTGTTGGACCAGGAGGAGTTACTATTGGAGCTGCTGAGCCATTCGCTGATGAGGCCGCTGCCTTCACCCGCAAACTTGTGCTCCAGCACGAGGTTCAACTCGAAGTCGAGTCTACTGACAAAAACGGAAACTTTGTCGGATATCTCTTCGTGTCTCCAGACGGAAACACCTCCCGAGGAATCAACTTGAGCGAGGCCCTTGTTGAAGCTGGACTTGCCACTCTTCACTTCACCGCTGAGCGCAGTGGACACTACAACGCCTTGTTGGCTGCTGAGAACAGAGCCAAGAAGGCAAAGAAGAACATCTGGGCCAACTACACCGAGGAGCAACAACAAGAGGAAGTTGAAGTCCAACAAGCCGACACTTCTGAGCGCAAGCAGAACTACCGCCAAGTCGCCGTCACTGACCTCGCCCCAGGAGCTCTCCGATTCTCCGCTCAAAACATTGAGGATGGAGCCAAAATTGAGAAGATGACTTCCGAGATGAGACAAGCTATTGCTGATCATCCACCACTCGCTGGATCCTATGCTGCTAAGCGTGGAGACTTGTGTGTCGCCAAGTTCTCCGAGGACGGTCTCTGGTATCGTGCTAAGGTTGAGAGCGTGCGTCAAGGACAAGCCGAGATTGTTTACATCGATTACGGAAACCGTGAGACCGTCGAGGCCGCCAAGCTTGCCCAAATTCCTGGAGGATTTGCTAGCTTCCCAGCTGGAGTTAAGGAATATAACCTGGCTCTTGTCAAGCTTCCAAATGAGGACTACGTTCAGCTCACTTTGGACGCCTTCGCCCAATACTTGTACGGACACTCGTCAGTGTTCGTGAACAGCGAGTACAAGGTTGGAACCGCCGAATATGTCACTGTAAGTTCCTTTTTCCTGTATTTCTTTCTATATCTCTCTCTTGTTCTAGGTCTACTTCGACATGGGAAACAAGAAGGTCGACATCGGAAAGTCTCTTGTCGAGGAGGGTCTCGCTTTGGCTGATTCTCGTCGTGAGCCACGTCTTCAAACCCTGTGCAATGAGTACAAGTCTGCCGAGGATAAGGCTCGCAAGAGCAGAAAGAACATCTGGGAGTACGGAGATTTCACCGGAAACGATATCTAAATAATTAGTATTAAAAATAAAAACATGATTTTTGCCCGAGAAAGTTTTATCATCCCCCCTTCCTTTTTGTATATCCATCCCCATCATATATCTTTTTTAAAAATATAGTGTAACTGTGATGCATCCTATCCGATTCTAGTTATATTTCCCCCCCCCCCTTTTTTTTCGAACCCCCGGTGGTGGTTATTCGCCTTGTTTTTTATTTAATAATGTGTTTTCCCCAAATTTTTAAAAGTTCCTCTACACTAAATTCCACCGGGTTCTTCGCTCTTCCACATCTATGTCCTTTCCCTACAGAACACCTAAACATATTTATTAAGTTAAGAAATATATTAATTTATTGTCTGTTAGAATACGGAATAAAATAATTTATTGCCTTTTCTATACCTGAGACTGCTTTGTTTTTGGTTCCCTGTGGTCTGGTGTTGGTTCCTTCTCTTCTATTTCTTTTTTAGTTAAATTGTTTCTGAAAGAAAAGAAAAATGGTCCAGATGAGTACAACTGGCCATCGTGCGGGAGTCTTCAAGAAGCCGGCAAAGCCGCACAAGTCGTGGAAGGGAAAACGTACGAAAGGAGAGATCACAACCGAGAATCGAGGTAGAAAACAGCGGAAGTCGTGGGGAAATCTGTAAAAAATTAGCTGAAAAATTCAATTTTTAGGCCAAATTTTTCTGGTTTTTAGGTTATTTTCAGCAAAAACATCAAATTTTGAGCAATCTTTCAATTTTTAGGCTACTTTTTCAGTTTTCAGACGAATTTCTATAATTTTCAGCTAAAATTTTCAAATTTTTAGGCCGCGAAGGCGTCAAACAGCTCACTCGCTCCGCCCACTCCACGCATCGTGCCGTCTCAAAAGACGCTCGTCGAAATCAGCTCAAAATGGCGAGAGATCGAAAGATGGCTGATGCGATGGAGAGACGCAGAACGTCGAATGCTCCGTGTCTTGTGGTAAGGATTTTCGGCTGAAAATGACTGAAAATTGATATTTTTTAACAAAAAAAATGGTCAAAATTGCTAATTTTGTGTTAAGAAAATTCAAAAAATCACAAGTTGAGCCCTGAAAAGGTCCAAAAAGATCCAAACGTTGCTAAGCTCGAAAAGTCGTGGAGGTCCAAAAAAGTCGTTCTGAAGCTATTTTTAAAATCTAAAATTCTCAGTTTTCTCTTCCAAAATGTGCTAAATTTTTCAGACAATCCTATCCCTTGGCGTCGGTGCCCGCCCCTCAGAATTCCTCAAAAAATTGGCGACGTGCGACGAAACAATTGTCCAAACGCACTCCCCATCCACCATCGACTTCGCGATTCCACGTTTCAAATCGCGAATCTCCTTCCTGACTCCAGACAAGGAGAATGTCGATTCCGTTCTTGACGCCATCCGCGCTTCCGACGTCCTCTGCTTCCTATGGCCTCTTTCGGCGGAACTCTCTGAATGGGATGAGCAATTGCTCACGATTTGCAAGGCCGCTGGTCTCCCAACAATCGTTAGTGTTGTCCCAGGACTCGGTGGAATTCAGAATCATAAGAAGAAAGAAGACGTGAGAAAAGGAATCGAGTTCACTATTTCGAAATGGAGCATGAGCAATGCTGGAGTGATGCCTGCGGATTCTGTCACTGATAACCTCCAATTGCTTCGAACTCTGAATGAAACTAAAAAGAAGCCGTTGACCCTCCAAGCTAGACACTCCTATATGCTTGTTGAGAATCTGGAAGCCACTGAATCTCCAGAAGATTCTTCTAAAATCACTTTAAAGGCTCAGGGATACCTCAGAGGACCGGAATGGAACGCCAACAATCTTATCCATCTTCCAGGCTTTGGAGATTTTCAAATTTCGAAAATCGAGACTGCCGCTGATCCGCATCCCTTGAAGACGTCACCACCGAAGGGTGCAGAAGTCATTGCAAAGGCTGACGAGAAGCGGCAGAGTTTGGAAACAGAGATCACTCTAGATGCGATGGATGGAGAGCAGACGTGGCCAACGCAGGAGGAGTTGGAGGAGGCTGATAAGGAGATGCGTCGTGTGCCAAAAGGAACGTCTTCATATCAGGCAGCGTGGATTTTGGATGATTCGGAGGATGACGAAGATGAAGAAGATGAGGATGAGGATATGGATGATGAAGAAGAGGATAAGGATCTAGAAGGTAAGAAGCATACTTGCAACGGGCGGGCCGGGCCGGGCTTTTTTTCAGAATTTTCAGGGCCCGGCCTGGCCCGTCTCGGCCCGGATTTTCGGAAGCATTTTTTCTGTCTTTTCAGAAATTTTTTTGGGGTCAATAGAAAAAAATGGAAAATTTTTCTGACAAGAAGAACATTTTTCAAGATAAGAGTGTCCATAAAAAAATAGTTCTTTTATAAAAAAATGTGTAAGAAGAGGCTCTTTATGAGAAAGCCTAGTTTAGAATTCGGGTTTCTAGGCCACCAACAAACGGGGACTATTTTGGGCACCATCACTTTTGAATTTAGAAAATTCCAGTATATTTGAAAGATTAAATTTTTTCCAGAAGATGACGAGGAGGAAGACACTCCAATGGATCTGAAATCGGAAGCCGGAGAAACCACAGCTTCTGAGATGATGTTCCACGATGAAATCGACGAGGACATCAATCTCGCAGAAGTTGAAAAGTACCGAAAAGAACGAGAGAACGCTCAATGGCCAGACGAAGTGGACACTCCGATCGATCAGCCAGCGAGAATTCGTTTCCAAAAGTATCGTGGATTGAAGAGTTTCCGTACGTCTACATGGGATGCCAAAGAGAATCTACCAGTGGATTACGCGAGAATTTTCCAATTTGCCAATTATAAAAATACGAAAAAGAATGTGATGTCCAAGATTGGAGGGAACGATGTGGATGCTGGCGACGCAGTGATTGATAAGAAATTCAACGGAGTCTTCGCAAGTGTCTATATTGAAAATGTGCCTGTCTCTGTGATGGAGGCTTATAAGGAGACGAAGAATCTCGTGCTCTTCCAACTTCTCCCTCACGAACAGAAGATGTCGATTCTGAATATGGTTCTGAAGAAGCATCCATCGTGTACAGTCCCGATTGGTTCTGAAGATCAGAAATTCATCTTCTACGTGGGATTCAGACAATTCGAAGCGCACGCTGTGCTTTCGTCGAATACGCCTGGGGACAAGTTCAAATTGGAACGATTCATGCCGACGGAGAAGACGTTTGTGGCTACTGTATATGCACCGATTACGTTTAATCCGGCGACAGTGTTGTGTTTCAGACAAGATGATAAGGGAAGACAGGTGAGCTGGAAATGACTGAAAATTGGAAGAAAACTAGAGGAAAAGGGCTCTAAAATTGAAGAAAAAAGCTTGAAAATGGCTGGGAATGGAAAAAAAATCGTAGAAAGCTAGTATGAAAGTCGGAAAAGGGCAGAAATATAACTGAAAAATGAGAAAAATGAGCTGAAAATTCGTAAGAATTGTCAAGAATGAAAAAAACTTTTTTTGGAAAAAGCTCGAAATTTCAAGAAAATGACGGAAAATCTGAAAAAAAATTACTCAATATTCGAGAAAAAACTAGAACATATATGAAAATCCAATGGATTTTTAGGAAAAAAAAACTAGAAAATTTAAAATTTCCCTGGAAAACCTAGAAAAAAGAGCTGAAAATTTTAATTTTTCCAGGAACTCGTCGCCACTGGCTCAGTCCTCGACACGAATCCGGATCGAATCGTCCTGAAACGTACCGTACTCTCCGGTCATCCATACAAGATTAATCGCCGTGCCGTCGTTGTCAGATACATGTTCTTTAATAGAGGTTCGTCAAAATACATGCGTTAAAACCGGGTTCCTAAGCTAAAATTTGGGCAAAACTGTCTAAAAAAAGGACCTTAAAATGACCCAATTTGATAGATTTTTTATTTAAATTCAGAGTTTTTAGTCCAATTCCCTTTTTTTCCAGAAGACATTGATTGGTTCAAACCAGTGGAACTCTACACGCCATCAGGACGTCGTGGACACATCAAAGAAGCTGTCGGTACTCATGGACACATGAAATGTCGATTCGATCAACAGTTGAATGCGCAAGACTCGGTTATGCTTAATTTGTATAAACGCGTCTTCCCCGTGTGGGATTATTCGCTTTTTGTGAGTTTCTAGCTCTCAAAAATTGAGAATTTCGGTTGTAAATGCATTTTTCAACTGGAATAATCAAGAACTCCTTTTAGATTTTTCAATTTAATGAGCCAAAAAACCAAAAATTGATGCTTTGACCACCAAAAATCGAGAATTTCGAGTTAAAATGGACTCTTAAATTTCAACTTTTGACCTGAAAAATCGAGAATTCCTTATTTTTGAATGTCTAAATTTTTCGAATTGCAGTCTAACAATCTCAAAATTTAATCTGGAATCAGCGATTTTTGGCTGCATCGATGAAAATGGCAACAAAATCTCTAAAATTATGTTTTTCGAGCTGAAAAATCGTAAAATATGCGGTAAAAATCGTGGTTCAGCACAATTTGGGACTGAAACTCGTTGAAACTGCTGTGAAAATTTGAAAAATTGCAGTTTCTAAGCCTAATATGTTTTCTAAATGTCCTTTTTCTTTTTTTAAATCCCATTTCTCCAGAATCGCAACCTGAATCCATCTCGTTTCGTCGAACGTTCGCGTGTCGAAAGCATCAGCTTGGTCCAAGAGGATGCCATGGAGGAATAGGACCATTCTTTTCAATTTTCTTGAAATTTTGTCTTCTTTTTTTTGTTAATTTCTCCAGCTCATAATCTTGTTCCTCTCTTTTTTGCTTGTTTTTTCTTCTTATTGTTAACGTTTCCCTTTCGTTGTTCGTGAATTTGTTGAATTCTATCCGTTTTTTTTGTTTTGTTAGCCAAACTGTTTTCATAAAAATTCTCCGAATTGAATTCTCCGGTCTCACAAAAATCTAGTTTTCTCAAATCCCAAAATTTTTATGTTTCTAAAACCAAAAATCAGGAATTTTCAAAAAGAAAAATTCTGAAACTGATTTCCAGAGTTATCAATTTTTGAAAATTTTCAGTTTAAAAAATTAGAATTTTGATTTCCTTGTATTCTCGGGTTCCGATAAGTTTGAATTTTCAGGTATTCCAGATTTTTTAAAGGCTTTCATAAATTTCGATTTTTGAAATTTTTTTTTGGAATTTTTCCAATTTCCCTCTCTCTCTCTCTCTCACCTCCAAAAGTGAAATTTTTGTCGTATTCTCCATCGGCTGCTGCTCTCTTTTTCTTTGACACTCTCACTCTCTCGTCGAATTTTTACATTTCGTCGCCTAATTTTTTGGAGTAATACAAATAACCGACACCTGTGGACGACCAACAAGCTCCGCCTTTTTTTTACAGCGTCTGCGTTCTCTCAAACAAAAAACCGACCCGCTAAGCACAATGTGTTTGAATTTTGCCTAAAATCATGTTTTTTCCTCTTAAAATTGGTCAAAAATGTCAATTTCCGATATTGTCTCGGTATACTGTACTAAAGGCGCATAGCGAACAAACTTGCAAGGAGTTTTACCACGAGCGTGAATTTTGAGCGGAAAATTCGATTTTGTCATTTTTTTAATTTTTCAAGCGCTTTTTAGGTTAAATAAAAATACAAAGCATTGTTTTCTATCTGAAATGTTATATTTTAACGTTGTTTAAGCGAAAACTGATGCAAAATCGAAAAATACGCGGGATACTGTATTTGAAAGGCGCATTGCAGCAAATATTGTGTGGGTCCTGCAGCGACTTCGCTTTATCCGCGATTTTTTTAAATGAATTTTCAAATTTCCTCTCTGAAAAGCTATGTTTTCGGCCTAATTTATCCTCCAACCGAGTCGATTTCTTCGAAAAATAATTTAAAATTCCATCGCTTTTGTATTAAGGGATACAGTAATCGTCGATGATACAGTAATCGTCGATGATCCCGACGCGATACCACCCGGGAAGTTTTTCGCGCATTTTTTTCATGGAAATCGGCGGTTTCTTTTCGAATGTTCTCTATTTTTCATCGAGAATTTCCATATTTTCAGTGAATTTTTCGTTATTTTAGCCGAAAACTTTCAGATTCTCAGCGAATCTCTCTGTTTTTTTCGCCAAAATATTCCAGATTTTCAGAGAATTTCGCGATTTTTCTCAAAATGTTTTCGATTTTTCAGCGAATTTCTCTGTTTTTGTGCCGAATATGTGTAGATTTTTCAGTGAATTTCTCGATTTTCTAGCCGAAAGCTTTCTGATTTTCAGGGAATTTCTCTGTTTTATCGCTGAAAATTGTTCAGATTTCCACTAAATTTCCCGATTTTTTCAGCTAATTTTCGCCTTCTTCCGTCGATCAAAATGAATCCGCCCGCCGACGAAACCGCCACCGGCACTTCAACGCCGACGTCGTCGTCAACACCGAGAAGGCCCGGAAAAAGGACGGCCGAGGAAATGGCGCTCGATTTGATTAACAATCGTCCGAAAGTTAAAAGAATCGTCAAATTGGTCTCCGTATTTTATGAGGGCAAAATGCTGGAGCTCGACTTGAACGAAACGACTGTGCCAAGAGGATTAATTCAGTGGTTGCGGCAGTGAGTTTGCGATTTTGACCGAAATTTTGAAATTTTCGAAGTTTTTGCCCCAAAAGTGAAAATCACGAAAATCGGCGAAATTTTCACTTTCTTCTCTAAACGTTCGTACCAAAACTTGTCTCATTTTTGACCTAAAATCGGTTTTTTTCAGCCTATGTAGTCTTATCGATGAAGTGACCGAGGGAGGATTCCCAAAGGAGTGGAAGGTCGACGATGATCCAAAAAACGTGCTTGGGCCTTATACACACGATGAATTAGTCGAGCTGGTCGACATGTATAATCTCGTCGCCAAACCGTTCGCCGGGGCGGTGAGTGACGATTTTCAGTCTAAATTGATGCTTTTCAAGGCTTTTTTTAGAGCTTTTCGATCAATTTTGCCAATTAAATCGTGATTTTCTACCATTTTTGACGATTTTAGGCCAAATTTTAGGCGTCTGTTTAGATTTAGAGTCACAATTTTTTTGCGATTTTTTGGTTTATAAGAAGGATTTTTCGCCTTTTTCAGCCATTTTCATCATTTTAAACAATTATTTTTGCAGTGGGCTGGTTCCTACAACACTGGAAACCTCGGTGATTGGGGAAATCCACATTGTACGTCTGAGATTGCTGGAAGTATTGTCCAGCTTGCGATCGAAATGGGCATTCCGAAAGTGGAGGATCTCAATAATTGCTATCGTGCATGGTCATCGGAGGTACAGAATTAAGGGACGGAAAAATCGAATTTTTAAAAAGGAAAATGAGATTTTTTAAAGCTTTGGAGAGCTTTCTGAGCAGTTGAAGTACTGAAATAATATGATTTGAGGCTGAAAAGTGAATTTCAAAAGGGAAATCTTTTCGAGTTTTTAGAGTTTCAGACGTCTCAGTTTCAGTAACTTAACAAAAGTAACAAAAAACGGCCCATACTCCCAGGGGGCATCGAAATAGGGGGCATCGTGCTCAAAGGGAGGCATACACTCATAAGGGTCACTAACTCATAGGGGGGCATCCTGAAGTTGTGTCTTAGGGGGCATCCCACCATGTCTCATAGGGGGCATTGATAGTCTCATAGGGGTCATTGAGATCAATTCGAGTATATGATTCTGAACATGATGAATTTTTGTTTTTACATCTTTTTCGTAGTTTTTTGAGGAAAACAAACACAATTGCAGACTATCGAAGGTGTTATTTCGGAGGGTCAACTGGGTAGAATTTCTGCCAAAAATTCGGGGGTACAACTCATTTCATTCAGGGGTACAACGCTTGTGATTCGGGGGTACAGTTTTTTTTTTGAGGGAGTTTCTGAATTCCTGAATTTCAGAGCTTGAAAACCTCCGAATTCTTAGAATTTCAGAACTTTGAAATTTCAGTATTTCGGAATCTGAGAATTTCGGAACTTCAGAGTCTGAGAATTTCAGAATGTTAGAATTTCAGAACTTCGAAATCGCAGAACTTCAGAATCTCAATATTTTTGAATTTTCAAAAATTACGACAGAAAATTTTCACTTCTCATTGCCACATTGTTCTATTTGACTTTGTGTCATATTTTTCACTCATCATGTCCAAAATTGTGGAAATTGTTCTGTGCTGAAAGGCATTAGTTTTTTTTTGAATTTTTGAGTCCCGAAACTTCAGGAAAGCTTACAACGGAGAACTGTAAAATAATTTGACAAGTTTTACAAACTTAAGACTTTAATGCTTAATTTATGTTTTAAAACTCAGTCAATACTTTCCTCTACCAATTTTTCTCAATTGCTTTTCTTCTCAATTCTATTTCATTTTCTTCTGTTTCTCAATATTCCTTCGGTTTTTCCCAATCTTCTCTTTTTTTTCTCAATTTTCCTCAATTTTTCTCAATTTTCGTGGTAATTGAATCTTTTCTCATTTTTTCATAATTTTATTTTGGATTTTTCTCCGTTTTCCTTCGTTTTCCATCGTTTTTGACGTCATCAATCCATGGCCGTGGTCGAGGTGGGGAGTTTTCTCTTCCATGGGAAAATTTCGAAAAATTCACAGCTTTTCGCAAATCCCGTTTTTCTCCGTTTTCCTTCGTTTTCCATCGTTTTTGCTCAGATTTTCGTGGTAATTAATCAAAAAAATTAATTATATAATTTTTGCGATGTTTTATTGCTTGTGCGAACAATTTTCGAAAGAAAATAGCTCATTTTGGGCCAATTTTTGGGATTTTTTAATTTTTGTGTGTAAATCACTAAATTGTGATTGCTTCCTTCATTCAATGATCTATAAAATTATGAAAAAATGAGAAAAGATTCAATTACCACGAAAATTGAGAAAAATTGAGGAAAATTGAGAAAAAAAAGAGAAGATTGGGAAAAACCGAAGGAATATTGAGAAACAGAAGAAAATGAAATAGAATTGAGAAGAAAAGCAATTGAGAAAAATTGGTATTATGCTTGTCTGAGAAAAAAAAAGGTTGAGACTCAGAGAAAAAAGTCTCAGGCAACGTAATAGAGGAAAGTATCGACTGAGTTTTAAAACATAAATTAAGCATTAAAGTCTTGAGTTTGTAAAACTTGTCAAGATTATTTTACAGTTCTCCGTTGTAAGCTTTCCTGAAGTTTCGGGACTCAAAAATTCAAAAAAAAACTAATGCCTTTCAGCACAGAACAATTTCCACAATTTTTTTCATGATGAGTGAAAAATATGACACAAAGTCAAATAGAACAATGTGGCAATGAGAAGTGAAAATTTTCTGTCGTAATTTTTAAAAATTCAAAAATATTGAGATTCTGAAGTTCTGCGATTTCGAAGTTCTGAAATTCTAACATTCTGAAATTCTCAGACTCTGAAGTTCCGAAATTCTCAGATTCCGAAATACTGAAATTTCAAAGTTCTGAAATTCTAAGAATTCGGAGGTTTTCAAGCTCTGAAATTCAGGAATTCAGAAACTCCCTCAAAAAAAAACTGTACCCCCGAATCACAAGCGTTGTACCCCTGAATGAAATGAGTTGTACCCCCGAATTTTTGGCAGAAATTCTACCCAGTTGACCCTCCGAAATAACACCTTCGATAGTCTGCAATTGTGTTTGTTTTCCTCAAAAAACTACGAAAAAGATGTAAAAACAAAAATTCATCATGTTCAGAATCATATACTCGAATTGATCTCAATGACCCCTATGAGACTATCAATGCCCCCTATGAGACATGGTGGGATGCCCCCTAAGACACAACTTCAGGATGCCCCCTATGAGTTAGTGACCCTTATGAGTGTATGCCCCCTTTGAGCACGATGCCCCCTATTTCGATGCCCCCTGGGAGTATGGACCACAAAAAACAAAATACTTTTTTAAAAATCCGGATTTTCAATACGAATTTTCAGATTTCTCGGCTCACAAGCTTGATTTTAAAATGCAATTTTTCCGAATAACTTTCAGAAGTCCAGAGTTCAACGCTGGTATTTTCTAAAATCAATACCACCATCGGAGTTCTCGTGCTTTCTGACCCCTATCCTGAAATTTACAGCCCTCTAGCTCAAATTGTCGTAAGATGTGGTGTTAATGTAGTTCGGTGTTTGCGTACCGTACCTTACATCTTACGACACTTTGAGCTAGGATGCTGGAAATTGCGGGCTAGCGGTAAGGGTTCATGAGAAATCGATTGGCGTTTTTAGATTTCGGAAATTGCGAACCAGTGTGTGCTAGAGAATTAGATTTCCGCCCAGAAATGGCCATATAATGGCTCAAATTAATTGCCTTTGAACTCTAAAACTAAAGGGTAATTGAGAAAAGGTTCCAGAACGTTCTAGAAGTAGCCAGAAATTAACGTAAACTGATTTGGTTTTTCGCATTTTCGAGCAATTTTTTAGGGGCTTCAAGCCAAGAACTAAATATTTTACGCCTAGAAGTCATGATTTTCCAGTCAAAAAATCCTCAATCATGCTTTTCCAGGTCTATGGAGAGACGAATCTAAACCAAATGGCGTCGATTCTCGATGAAGTGGGTGTAACAAATAAGGACGTCTTCATCGACCTGGGCTGTGGAATTGGACAGCTCGTGTTCTTCACCGCCGCCTATGCTCAATGCAAAAAGAGCTATGGAATCGAGCTGAATCCATTCCCATATCAGCTGGGTGCCAACGTCCAATCGATTTTCACAAAGTATGGAATCCAAAATGTTGAAAAAAAATACTCAAAAAAATCCAATTATTCAGGCTCATGAAGAATTTCGGCAAACGATTCGGAAAGAACGAAATTCTGGAGGGTGATCTGATGAACGTCGTGTTTCGTGCGAAGATCAGTGAAGCGACGGTGATCTTCATCAATAATTTGCTGTTCGATGCTGAATTTATGTGGAGGCTGAAGACGGAGATTCTTCAGTATCTGGATGAAGGCGTCAAGATAATCACTACGAAACCGCTCGGAGATCCAAAGAAGATCAATGTTACAGACAGACGTATAGGAGGTAAGGTTGGCCTAGGATAGAGAACTTGGTGGCTTAGAAACCCTTTGTCCTTGAGTTCGTGACATAGAAAGATCTTTTCCAAGAGTTGGTGGGTATAAAATTGTACATTTCATTGGTTCCAGATGGCCTAGAATTCTCGGTCTAGGCCACAGGCGTGTAGCTCCGAGCATTATGGCCTTGAAAACTCCCGTGGCCTAGAATTCGGAATCTCGAATCTGGCGGCCTAGAAAACGCCACCTGTAGTGTATGTCCTAGTCTTGAACACGACGACCTAGAAAACACCACCTGAAGCGCAAGGCCTAGAAAACACTTGCCCTAGTGTTGATGGCCTAGTAAAGGCTATTCCTAGACTTGGTGGCCTAGAATAATACAGTCCATTAGTTCCAGATGGCTTAGAAAACTCTGTGTGGGCTCCAGACATATAGCTCTGAACAGGATGGCCTAGAAAACTTCCGAGGCATAGAATTCTAGATCTCGAATCTGATGGCCTAGAAAACGCCACATTTAGTGTATGCCCTAGTTTTGAACGCGATGGCATAGAAAACTCTTGCCCCGGAGTTGGTGACCTAGAAAACTGTTGTCATAAAGTTGGTGGCCTAGTATCCCAAGAAAGAACTCACTGCGCTTTTTCTGGGAATAAGATCGCCTAGAATTCCAAATCGATGCGTCTCATGGCCTAAGATACATAACTGAGCCCCCTAGGCTTCCTGACCTAGGAAAGCACCATATGGCCTAGAAACCCTCCCCCTCTAATTTCCAAATTTTCAGATTTATCTGCGATATCGGAGACAGTCTACCTGAAATCGTTGCAAGGTGGTGTCTCGTGGACGGACAAACCGTGTCGCTTCTACCTGACAACAATCAATCGAATGAAGGTACGCTAGAATTTACAAAACTCGACCATCATCAAAAATTTTCATTTTCAGCTCATGAACTATTTCAAGCAGAAGAGAGTAATGGAGACAGAAATGAGCTCGAAAAAGAAGAAGCCAACGAAACGTAATCGTTCGAATGATTCCGCGACGTCGTCACTCGATGAATCCACGTTATCAATTCCACCTACTACGGATGAGCCGATTCAGAAGCGCCACGCGGGACGTCCAAAGCTGCCAAAGGCGATTCCAGATGTGCTTGATGCTGATACACCATCCAAAAGCCGTGGTCGTCCAAAGCAGATTTCGGAGTCATCCAAGTCATCGTCCCGTCGCAGATCGTCTGACGATGAGGACTACAAACCACCGTCTTCTTCGATTCGTCGCAAACCGGCTCGTCGTTCTTCAGTTTTGCAGCCAAAGCAGGAGCCATTGGACTACACCGAAATGCCGCTTCTAGTCAAAGAAGAGATTCTAGATGACGTTAAGAATGAGGACGTCAGCGATGTGATGGAACGAATGCTGGAGCAGGTCGTCAAGATGGTCTAGAAACCTCCAGAAGTTATCAATCCCCTATATTTTCTATTTTTATTGTCTGATCTCCCTTGTTATCTCAATTCTTCCTCTAAGTCAATTCTTCCTCTAGACCACCGTAACCCTTTTGAAAACTCGCCCCATTGATCTTTCTTCCTTTTAAAAATTATGTTTGTCTAGTAATTCAATTACACCTTTTACTCAACGACCTCCTTTTTCTGTATTTTTTAGAAATATATTTTTTTTATTTTTATGCTTTTTGACTTCAAAAAAATCCGATCTGTCACATTTTTTGCTATTTTTGTATCGCCCCTTTGCTATTCCATCTGAATATCATCGTCGTCACCATTCTCTGATCTTCTGAATTAATTTGTCCCATCGTTATCATCTTGAAAGAAGCCAGCTAGCTTAGTGAGAGACAGCGAAAATTGGAATAAATTTTGAAAAATGGAAAAGGGTGTAATTTGGTCTGGTGAGAAAAGAAAGTTTAGAATCGTTCACAACAGTAATCAATTGAATCTGGGAACGAAGCTAGGTAAAATGAAAGGGCACGGTCTCCCACAGAACATTTCCGAACTGAAAGAAAAAGAATATCTAGTGAGTTAGAAGCGAAGAAGGATAAAAAACTAGGAAGAAAAGAGGGAAATTTAAAGTTTGTTTTTGGAAAGGAGACGGAGTGGCGTTCGAGAGGACTTTGGGAAGGCAAAGAATCGAGAGAACGGGGGAGAATTTAGAAAAAAAACTGGAGAAGGTCGAGAATATTTGGGAACATGACTGACTTTGGTACACGGGGAGGAATTCGAAACATATTGGGTCGGAATTTGGTACTAGGGGAAAGCTGCAGTCAAATTACAAGGCAATAACACGAGGTTCTTTAAGAATTAGTCTTTTATTAGACAAGATTTAGGTTTACAGGATAATGGGACAAAGAACAAAGAAGAGATCACGGAATTCAGGTCCAGTTGTCTCGATGGAGGGGGGGGGGGGGGTCATGTAGTAGATGGGGATATCGAAGTGTGCATGCTGGGGAGACGGTGGGATGACGGCCTTCTGTCGAGCCTGTAAGAAGGAAATGATTAACGGGCCAAGAATGTTCTAATGGTAGAGACACGGGAAAAAGGGGAGGCCCAGCCTCTGTCCTGGACAGAGTCCAAAGAGCCTTCTATATCCCATGCTCTATGAAAAGATGATGCAATTCTTAAGACTTAGCAATCCTATGAGTCATCCAAATGGAATTCAGATGAACCTTAGGAATGCCCAACTAAGGGGTACGGAACCTCTTACATAATTTATTGTGCTGCCACCCGGCTCCCCATGAGAATGATTTGAAATCGGCCTCTAACAGTCTTCAGTTGGCAGGAACCTGGAAAATTACGATTTTTAGTTCGGTCCTGCTATATAATTCCAAAAATTATTTTTCGAGCCATTTTACCCACCAGGGAATGGTGCAAATGGGTCATGGAGTTATGGTACATGACCTATATCATTGGAAAGCAGAGAAAAAATTATTTACGAATATGTAGTCAGGATCTGCTAAGCGGTAGACAGCTCGGAGAAATGAGGTCTTAAGCTCTGAAATCACTACTTTTCTTCCCTTTATTCAGTACAATTTCAATAGAAATTTTAGATCGCGTGAAAAATAAATGAATAAATGAAAAATCTCTATTGAAATTGAGGAAACCAGTAGTAAATCCAGGGCTTTAGAACTAATTTTCTCCGAGCTGTCTACCGCTCAGCAGATTCTGACTACATATTCGTAAATAACTTTCTCTCTGCTTTCCAATGATATGGGTAATGTACCATGACCCATTTGCACCATTCCCTGGTCACCACTGTAAAACTAACAATAATTTTTTCCCAGAGTAGGATAGTAGGATGATATTATCATAATTTATTTTCCTAATCATGCCTATGATGATTATGACGTTTAACATTCAATTTCAAGCTTACCTGCGGCTCCACTGTCTCATCCAATAAGGTACCGTAATCGTCCATCATCAGAATCGAATTGTGTACCTCCTCACTCAACGCGATTCTGACGAAAAAGGTTCATCAGCTCTTTCTCTGTGTGGGAGAGAGAAATCAACGGCACATCGTGGGGACCAGTCGTCACCAGGTGCCCCGTGGTGTGGCTGTACCGGATTTTCATCTGGTTGACAGCGCGTCCAATCGCCCTGGTGGCATTATTATATTGCCGGTTTGCTCCTTTGGATTTCTGAATTTATCTCCGAAATCAGATTTTAAACTATGCCAAGTTTTTCTCATTGTTATATTATTTGCTTTGGGTTTTTCTATTCGAAAATGTACGAATTTTTTGAATTCATCTGGAGATTTTCAATAACATTTTTTCAAATATTCCAGATTCTTATTTTCGAAACTTCGGTTCAGCAGAAAAATAATTCAAAGTTTAAAAATATGGAATTTCTTTAACTCGAACTGATCCAAAAAATATGGAAAATTCAGGAAATTTACAAAAACTCACTTTTTACATTCGAGTTTCCAGGAAAATAGATAAAAACCAAAATCCATTCATTCATAGGATTTATGGGAATAGAATAGCAGAATATAAACAAAAATCAATAGAAGGGAATTCCCCAAAATCCATTCACTTTTAGGATTTTTAGAGAATTCCCGAAAAATATTTAGACGTCTATTCAGTAAGTCGTCAAAAGAGAAGAATGATGCATTCGGTGGGTAGAACAGGCATGGGACGTCCAATCTGACCTTTCTCTGCGTCTCTTCGATCACCATACTCTCTAAAACGAACAGGTGTAAAGAAGAAAGTGAGAGCTTGGGAACAGACGACCATAATGACATAGTATGATGTGAGAACTCTTATATCAACAAAAAAAAGATATAATTGATTTTAGAGAGTGTAGAAATGAGGGAGACGCAGAGTCCTTACGTCGTCTACAGTAGCAAATGTGAAATAATTTGTAATCAAAACAGAGCTTAAAAGAATTAGGGGTACAACATTTAAAACTTTGTGTTCAGAAATTCGCAAATTCAAAAACTCGAAAACAAAGAAATTCAAAAATCCTGAAATCCGTCGAGGACAAATCCGAGAAATTGGAAAATGAGGAAAAAGCAAAAATCCAGACATTCAATATTTTAGAAATTCAAAAATTCAAAAATTCAAAAATTCCAAAATTCAAAAATTCAAAAATTCAAAAATCCAAAAATTCAAAAATTCAGAAATTCAGAAATTCAGAAATTCAGAAATTCAAAAATTCGGAAGACGGATGACGGAAACGGAACAACATTTTTTGACGGAAGACGGAACAAGAAAATACACGGAAGACGGAAGACGGAAGCCGGAAGACGGAATTCCGCTCTACACTGGATACCACCAAGAACGTCGTCCAACCGAGGGCAAGGAGCGGCGCCATCAATCCTCCAAATCTTATCGACAACCAAGAGACAAGGACAGCGGAGAACCTTCAGCCAAAAGAAGGGAATTCTAAATAATGTTTTTTCTACCTTTTCTCCCTCGTCCCTCTTCATCCCTCATTCGCTCTACCCCCATTTCTCAATAAACTCTTAATAATCTACCAATCATCTGTTCTCGTGTCTTCTAATCATTAGGTGCTAGTGGTGAGCAACTATTCTTCAGGATCCACACCGGTGGCAACACATAGTGCATCGACCGGGAAAATGAAAGTATCAGTTTCTTTTTTTTTTCAAAAATTGTCAATTTTCAGTTTTTCAGATTTCGCTGGTTCAGTTTTTGATGATTTTACAAAATTGCAATTCAAAAATTAAGTTTTCTAAAGATTTTGAAAGTTTCAGTTTTCAAAGCTATATTTCTATTGACTTTTCAACTTAAAAAATTATTGACTTTTCAACTTAAAAAATGTTTTTAATTGAAGCGGTCCAGTTTTTTTTTTCAAAAACTTTCGCAGATTCCTGGAATTTTATATTTTTGGGTTTTAAGTTTTTTGAATTTCCAGATTTTCCGCTTCATTCTAAATTTCAGGACTACAAAATTTTGGTTTTCCACAGAAAATTTTCAGATGTTCCAGAACATTTCGTCTAAAAATTCTGATACATTTCTGAATAAAAATTAAAAACTAAAAAAAAACATTTTCATCAATACCACTTCATTTGAATCCAAAATGCCAATTTTGAATTTTAAACATTTAAAACCACAGAGAGAGAAATTTTCAAGTTCACACCAGGAGAAGGGGGACAAAAATAGGGGGAAAAAACTAAAGGCACACATAAGCACAAATTACAGCACTAAAATGTACAGAATTGAAAAAAAAAAGTTTCTGGAAAATAACTTTCACAAAAATAAATCAATAAATCAATGATGGAGGTGACAATCGCGAATATAATTGATGAATACATTAGAATGGAACATATTGAACCACTGATAGACACGCTGCCATTCCTGATCAGCCCAATCGTATTCTAGCCAACGGAGACGCGTTTCGCATAGGAACAACGGCTTGCCACGCTGGAAGAAATTAGTAGTTAAAGTTGGGGTAATTATTGAGAAAGCAATTAGCATGATAATCGACCAATTAGGCAAAAATTTGAGAAAAACCCAAATTTCCAGTTAATTTTGGTCTATGTTCTGCAAATTTCGTAAAGTTATTTTCAGAAAAAATGTGAATAAGGCTCTTAATTAAAGGTAAATTTTAGAAGATAATTAGCACAACTATCAACAAGTTTTTTGAATTTTTGATTTTTTGAAAAAAAAAACATTTTTTTTAATTTTTTGAAATTCTGATCTGAAAATTCATAATTTTCCGGTAATTTTCTGCCATTTTTTAGCGGATTTTCACAATTTTCTGGCATTTTTAGTCAAATTTTCAGAAATAGTTAATATTTTTCTCAGTCGTTTTTTTTCAGATTTTGAGCCAATTTCCAGTTGTTTTTCTCACTTTCAAATTGCGATCCTCTTCCATGTGTGCATCCAAATAGACGGTTCCCCAAATCGCCGCCTGTCTGCCACGTGACACCAGAATCATTGACGACGTCAGTGATATGAATAAGCCGGACGACGTTGAGCAAGATTCGGCGTGCTGAAAAAATTAAAAATTGCTTTTTCTGGAAATTAAAAAAAATAATTTTCAGGGTTTTTTTAAACTTGGAATTTCAGCCAATTTTCAATCAAATTTCAAATATTTTTCAATGAATTCTTTATGTCTGAAAATGGCTGAAAAACGGTTTCAGACCAATTTCAGAGAATTCCAGACACTAGACATTCAGACATTTCTAGACCACTTTAAATCAATTTTCACGATTTTCCTGTTATTTTCAGCCAATTTTCAGCCAAAAACTCATTCTTACCGATTCCATTTCCGATGTATGCAATAGTCGATCGGATCCTTGAACATGTTGCTGGGTTTGACAACAATCATCCAGACAAAGCAATTCTCCACAAAATAGGCAGATTATTGGATTTTGAGGCGTCTGAAATAATGAATTTTTTTGAAATTTTATGAAAAAAAAGGAAAATTCTAAATTAAGTTTTAATTCAAAAAACACGATTAAGACTGAAAATCTTCAAAATCGTCGAATCTCCCACAAAGTTCTGCAAATTTTGGGCTTGAAATTATAGATTTTTGGGTCTGAAATTCCAGAGTTTTGAACAGTAAATTGTGAATTCCGATTTCAAAATAAGTAACTTTTAGAAAAATTATGGAATTTCAGAATTTTAAAATCTCGAAAAACAGCAAGTTTTACCTTTGAACACTTGACACACTGTCGATGGAAATATCTCGCGAAGAGGTCCTCGAAACGTTTCGGTGGCCGAAGAATTCGTCGTGGTTTCCAGGCCAGCGGTTGCGAGATACACGGTTGGAGCTGGAAAATTTTCGATTTATTTTTTGGGAATTTGGAAAAAGTCATATTTCCAGATAGCTCTAACCGGAAAAAAGAATTTTTGATTTTCAAGATTAACTTTTTTTAAAAATTTATCTCAATTACAATTGCGCTCTAATGGACACTGATAAACCTATTTTACATATTTTATGTATTTGTGTGAGGAAAAATGAATCATTTTGTTTATTTTTCTGTATGTTTTGTCAATGTGTTTGAATATGGGTCGTCCACAGGCGGAAAAAGAAAAATGGAATAGATTTCATTCTTTTTGAAACATCTTTCTTCTTTTGGGAGCGTGCCAAGAAACGAAAATCCATTTTTTAGAATCTCAGAATTTTGAATTTTCGGAATCCCAGAGATTCAGAATTCTAATTCTTCTGATTTCCAAAACTCAATTTTCTTTTTTTTTTGGATCTTCATAATTTCGTAAAATTCAAAATTTGAAATTTCGCATTCAGGAGTCCATGAATCTAGGAAATCAAGAACTATTAGATTTCAAGAAAGCTAGAAATTCCAATTTTTCCAAAATTAGAAACTCTACTCTTCGAATTTTCAAAATCCTAATTTTTAAAATTTGATTTTCAGAAATCTAAACATTTCAGATTTTGTGCATTTCGGGAATTTCAGACTTCAAAATTTCGGATTTTTTGTAATCCAATGATTCGGATTTTTTTTGATCTTCAGAATTCTAGATGCTAGAATATCGAAATTCCAAAAATTGCGAAAAATTATGAATTTTTTAATTTTTAAATCGAAAAATCAGAATCTCAAAAACTTGGATTCTGCTTTTTTTCAATTTTTAGAAAAAAAAGGATTTCTAGGATTCTGAAAAATATTTTTTCCACATTCTAGATATCCGAATTTTTGGAATATGGAAATATGGGAATTCAAAAAATCATAAAATACAAAATTTCTGAATTCCTGGGAATTTGAAATTTTGGGATCCAGAAGTCGAAACTCAAATTTCTAGAATACAAAACATGGAACTAAAAAGCCGTAGAATTTGGATTTTCAGATTTTTAAGTCTGAAATCCGAAGTTCCACCAAAATTCAGTATTTCCAAGTTTGCCAATTCTCGAAATTTCGCAATTTCAAATCCATTTCTTGGTCCATTTTTTTGTTTTTTTTTTGCAATAATTTCTTCAGTCTGTTTGTCCAGATGTCCCTTTTCTTATCAATAGTCAATTGCCAATTTTCATTTTTCGCTCGATTTCTCTATTCATTCTTTTTGCTCTCGTCAAAATCAAAAATTCTTTGCTTCTGTGCGTCTCTCGCTCTCTCCCCACTGAGTCAATTGAAATTAGACCTTCTTCCCAGTGCCATTGTTTGCTCTTCTCGGGCAGGAAGAAGTGTGCCAAGGAGAGAAAAATACTTTTTTCTAGAAATAGAAAATTCTATTCAAAAATTTCGAAACTTTTTCGCTTTTTTGGATCATTTTTCCGATTCTTTCTGTTTGTAAATTCAAATTTCCAGATGTCCGCATCGTACGTTTCGTTGACCTCCGTACACAACGAAACCTCGTTTCCGGCAGGGGTAAGTTAGTGTCGTCTGTACACACATAGAAATTTTAAGACGTGTCCCTCGTTTAAAATTTTGGTGTGGTGGTATTTTTGTTTGCACAATCGAATACAACATACATACATACAACACACATGATGCGGCTGACTGACTTTTTGGGTTTTGGTATGGTGTGAAGAGAGAGATTGAAACGGAAAGAGAGACATTGAGAATCATAAAAACGCCCCGATTTCATGCTTCTCTGCGTCTCTCTAGCTCTTTCACCCCCAAACAAAAAATTATCAGGAGGCACTCATTTCCTTGTTGATTCAAAAAATTGATTTTTAGAAGATGTTTTTCCCGATCTATATAAAATGAGCTTCCTACGAATCTAATAAATATTTGAACTCTAAAACTTCAGAATATTCGGATTCTGAGAATTCAACGAATTTAAAATCTTTCGATTCTGGAATCTTTTTAATTTAGAAATTCAAGGTTTCAGTTTGTATCAAATCAGAAAACTTTATATTCAGAATTCTAGGAATTCAGAAGTCTTGAAACTTAGAATTCGAGTGAATCAAGACTAACTAGTAAGATCTTGTCAATTCTCCGTATTTCGGAACTCGTGAGAATTCTAATTTTCAGAATTCTAAGAATCTAGGAGTTTAGTATCCAATAAATTCTGAAAATCTAGGATATTTGACGTTTCAGGATTTTAGAATTCTAGAAATTCTAGAAACTCGAATTCTTAGAATCTCAAAAACTCGTGATTTTGGAATTCGAAGAATTTCATAATCCTCGAAAATTTGGAAATTCCTGAAACTTGGAATTTTCAGATTTTTTCAAGAGATTAGAAAATTTCGTCAATCAGTCTGTCTGTAGATTCATCTGTCCTGATGCCTCTATGAATTTTCTCTAATTCTCGTCGTCTCTCAAAAAAACGTTTTCAAATTCTACAGTAATCAAAGTGATGATCTTTGCCTTTTTGGATTACTGTAGGAATCTTTGGATTATGTTTTTTTTTTCGAATTTTCGAAAATCCCTAGACGCCAGCTTTTTCAATTTATCGATTTTCTAGAAGCCAGAAATTTCAACGAATCTAAGAAAATTAGAATTCAAAATTTCTTAGATTTTCAGAATTCGTAGGATTCTGAACTAGATTTTTTAATTCTGAAATTTTGAACTTTTGTCTATTTCGAATTTCGGCGAATTCAAAAATTATGCTTTCTGGGAAAAAAGACCCACGAATTCTTGGATAATTTTCGTTCTGGAAAAAAACCTGTGATTTCGCAGAACTCTCATCCCAACTCTATGGTCACATCCGAACGGATGGGTGCATTCGGCGAAATGCGTCATACACCGTCACCAGCATCAACCACTCAAAAGTTGCGAGTCGATATGAGCAGTTCGGGGTGAGTCATATTCAGGAAAATGAAGCCAATTTTTGACATTCCGTAGTTTCCGATATTCAAGGATTCCCAAAAATCTAAAAACCTTAAAAACTTCAGATCAAGTCCAATTTCAAAAGTGGAGACACCCATTTTACCGTCAAGCTCAATGTCACAGCACCCGCCAACTGCGTTTCCAAGGTAAGCTAGGGAGGGTACTGTAGATTAAGCTTGAAAAGCTCTTTTCCTTAATTCAGAGGATCCCAGAGCTACACGTCGTCTCGTTCGATTCCTCATCGAATCGATATGTCCAATCGATCATCGACAAATTCACAGCGTCCATTGTTACCTCCTCCTCCGCAAGATCGTCCCGTTCGGTTTCAGGCAAATAATGGATATCTTCAGGTAGGAGTTTTTACGACCATTTTAAGCCAAATTTTATGACTTTTGGGTGGTCAGTTTTGACTCATTTTGGCCAAATTTAAGTCCTTTCAAGCCAAAATCTCTTTCAGCCATCGATCTACATGCCAACCACGCACTCTCAAGCAGATTCGTCTGAATCAAGGCGGAAACACGAGAAGCTTTCCGACGTCTACTCACAGAGCGGGGATACTGTAGAGTTTGCCAAGAACCTCAGCGACTATGTTAATGAGAAAATTCCGTATCGTGAGTTTTCCAGATTACTGTAGGAAATTCTGGATTTTGATTCTTCGGATTAAATTCCTATATGCCTAGATAACTGACTAGATTCCATAAAAAACCAAAATTTCGGTCCTTTCAAAAAATTTCAACCAGAGAATCTTCTAGAAATCAGCATAGCCGTCCTCTCCTGCTTCAGTCTTCTCGCCTTTCTTCTCATCATATTCGGTCTTCTGAATGCTCCATTCTGTGCCGTTCAACCAATGATACCAATCTGGTTGATTGTCGAAGGAGTTCTTTTCATCATTTCCGCAACGTTTCGCATCTATTTCCTGATTCCAACACCGCGAAGAACCGCCTATCGTAGACAACAGAGACAGTTGGGTGCCAGTTTGTTGTGTAAGGGATTGGAGGTCCTGTTCGCGTTGGCCAATGTTGTATGGCTTATTTTGGGTGAGTTTTCTTTATCGAAAATTTTGCGAAGTTCAAAATTTTTTCGAAAAAAACCAGAAGAACTCGTATTCTTTGGAATCCAGAATCTCGGAATCAAGAATTTTAGAAATAAAAAATCCAAATTCCTTCAGAATCCATATTTTTCAATAAAATAAAAGTGCTATAATAGAACTTGACGAGTTATACAAGATGGTACCATTTGGGATACTGTAGCTTTTCTATGAGCAAAGTTATAGGCCAAGTTGCTTTATGGCTCGTAACTTTGCTCATAGACAAGGTACATTAATCCAAATAGTACCATCTATTAGGGCTCGTTGAGTTCTACCATACGAATTCTAGTTGGTCGGAAAATGTTATTGGCAAGTGTGGAAAATAGGTTGAAAAAAAAAGTAAGTAAAAAAACAAATGGAAAAATCTTTTTTTCGACATGAAATCATATTTTTTTCTGCTAGAAATTTCAGATTTTTTGCCTAATTCAGGCTAATTTCTAGCTAAAAACGGCCCAAATTTCACACAAATTTCATATTTTGGTCGTTTTTCGTCAAATTTCCCCTAAAATCTCCCAAAAATGCAATTTTCAGGATGCGTCTGGGTGTACGGCTCAAAAGCGTTCGTCCATTTCAACGAGGGAATGTTCGAGAGGCATTATTGTGATCCAATGATCTATTGGTCCGCGTTTTTCGCATGTACCGCGTTTTTGGTGAGTTTTTTAAAGGAATTTCGGACTCTCAAAATTGTCAATATCCAGAATTTGAGATTTTTAAAATTTCCAAATTTCGAAAGATTTTTTTGGAATTTCGATTTTTCTTTCAAATTCAAAAGTTTCAGTTTTTCCAATTTTCAGATATTCTACTGTATCATCATTTTCCTTGTTATCTGTCTGCTGATCGTTGGCTCAGTTAAAGAGAATTCGTCACAGGATCAGAATCTTGATTAATTTTCTGTGTTTCTTAATTTCTGATGAAAAATTGTTTCTAAAAAAACCAATAAATATCAATAAAATCACTCACAAATTTGTTCATTCGTGTGATCCATGTCAAATTGTTACGATACATCATTGTCCAGTAGTAGGCTTTGCCCGGTTGATTCAAACGATTCGGGTCTGGAGAATTTCTAGAATTGAAAATTTCAGAAAAAATTCAAAATATAAAGTTATTTTAAAGAATTCAGAATTTCAAGAATCTTGAAAATTTGAAGAATCTCTAAATTTCAGAGAATTACGAAAATTGTTAGAATTTCTGAAATTAAAAAAATCAAATTATTTTTTTCCAGAATTTCAGAAGTCAAATTAAGAAAGTTCCAAAAATTTTTTTCATTTTTTCCAGAATCTTTTGTTTTTTAGTTTTGAGGGAAGGATTACGGTTGTTCTAGAAGATTACTGTAGCTCTGGAGGATGATTACTGTAGATTTGCGAATACTGTAGTTAAAGGATTACAGCAGTATAATGATCACTGTAGTTTTAGGAAGATTACTGTAGCTTTAAGAAAACTGTGATTTTGGGATTACTGTAGTTTGGGAGAGACTCTTCAGTCTTGAGGGAAGGATTACTGTAGTTTTTGGATTACTCTATTAGATTTCAGAGAAGGATTACTGTAGTTATAGTAATACTGTGAATGAATTTCGGATTTATCTATTTCTGGGATTAGTATAGTTTCGGAAGAAGGATTACTGTAGTTATAGAAATACTGTGAATGAATTTCGGATTTATCTATTTTTGGATTACTGTAGTTTCGGAAGAAGGATTACTGTAGTTTTCGAATTGCTATAGTTTTGGGGTTACTCTAGCAGTAGTGGAAGGATTACTGTAGCTTCGGGGAGGGATTACTGTGCTTTGGATTTTTCCATGTTTTTAAAATTCTCAAAATTCGAACAAAAAATATATATATCAGAATCCAAAACTTCAAAATTCAGAATTTCAGAGTTTTTGAAAAACTCACCAATCTTCAAAATTCGAAAAGCATCTCCAATCTTAACATCTGCCGCATGAAGCCGTTCAATTTCAATACCGTAACCCAAATCCAAATGGAAAAAAAGTTCCGATGAAAATTGAAGAAAATCCAAAAGACATCGTTCCACTGTTTGACAGAATTGCAGATCGGATGGCTGGAAAAACGAAATTTTTAAAAAGAATATTTTCGAAATTTTAGATTAACCTCAACTTCTGGCGATGCCAATCTCTGTACCAAATTCTCGAAATGGTCCATATTATATGTCAACGCTTGACAAATCGCTTCAGCTTCTTCCTATAAAAAACAAGGTCCGGCGAGACATTTCAAAATCGAAAAAGTCAGAATTTTTCGTCAGTTTCAGCTAATTTTAGCCCCAATTTTAAGCTCAAAAATGCACACTTGTCACGGGCCGGGTCAAAATCCAAAATTTCAAAATTTCGAAGTTTTGTGAAGTTTTCATCAAAATTGCTATAAATTTTGAAGTTTCGATACTTTTATAAGGGCGGATTATAAGGAAATTGTTTTTCAGGTGGAATTCAAAAAAATTTTCTCAAAATTTTTCAAAAAATCAGCTACCCGGAATTTGACAAGTATGCAAAAATGGGACCATTTTCGTACTAAAAAACTAATTTTAAGCCCTAAAATCGTCAGATTTGACTGGAAATTGACTAACTTGAGACAGAAAATTAAAGATTTTTCCGCATATTTAGGCTTTAGAAACTCGATTTTTGAGCTCAGAATAAGCAATTTTTAGTAAGAAATCGTCAGGTTCGACTTCAAATTGGCTATCTTCCAAACCTGTAAATGCTTCGACAATCCATCAATCTCCAATTCCCTCTTCGCCAATAATCGAATTTTCTGGTCGCCAAGTCTCAGCACCAAACATAGCAAGGTGTAAGAGGAGACCCATCCAACAGCGGCTCGAATGATATCCATTGCAATTTCCGATTGAATCGTTTTCGATAGTGATTGATTATCGATTAGAACGGCAATCATTCGAACCAGTGTCGCTTTTGGTTCCAGGACGAAAAGTGGCACTTTTAGACGAGAATCTGGGTTCGCCGTTGGGTCGGGAGACGTTTTTCGGGGCGATTTCTGGAACTATGGGAAAATTGAAAGGTTGTGATTACCGGAATTGCGCTAAAAGAAGCCAACTTCAGTTGTAATGTTTGACCTCAATTATCTCGGTTCGTTTAAAAGATATCAAAAATCTGTCAACTGGTAAAATATATGTCATATATTATCAGCAATATTGTATCAGTTGAAAGATATCTGATATGTTTTAAACGAACCGAGATAATTGAGATCTAAGTTGGCGGTTCTTTACTTTCGAAATGTTCCCTACGTCTCATGGAAATCATAATCTGAGCATTAAATCTAGGTCGTCCTCATAAAACCATATGTATACGGTAATTATTATTAGAAGACAGTAACTTCACCTCATCAATTTCTAATCATTCCGTGCCTCCTGGGAATCATTGTTTATTCCCATTTCCTATCTTCACCACACCTGGTTCTCTTTCCCAGGAGCTCTCTATTCCTCAGACCCCGCCCCCTCCTTAATAGGCTCCGCCCACTTCCCCCCATCGCCTATAAATACCTCTCGAATACACCATTTCTCGGTACCACTCATTCTGTGTTCTCTGTATTTTATTGTAACTATGACATTCCTTCCAACCTCTGCTGACTTTTTCTTGTCAAAGAATCTTTCTATTTCTTCTGGAGGAGTCAAGAAAAATCTGGAAGTTTCCAATGGTCGTCCAGTCACCTATTTGGCTGGAAAATCCATTTTCAAATTTTTGGACTTGAAAACCCGTCAACGCCTTCACTCGCGCTGCACCGAACTCCGAGTTGTCGACCGTCACTCTCCACTGACTCTGCACACGTGCTCCATCGGATCCAACTCAATTGAATTCGACTTTTTCGGGTCATCCTGGACATTTGAAAACGGCGAAGACGTCACAATTCGATGCCTTGGAGGACTAGTGAATCCCCAAAAGAAGCTAAAAATGTCTCAAAACGATGCGATGAAGGAGATCCTCAAATTCTACCTAAACCGACGTGGAACGACGATCAAGAAGTTGTTCATTCAAGATAAGAAGGTGTTGAACATTCTAGAAACCGTTGGGGTCTTCAAGAATTTCGAAATTCAAAGTGGACTGGATGTAATGAGATTCAAGGATCACGAGATGGAAATCAAGGAGCTGCCTGATGCCATTTTGAGAAACATTCAGTGGAGACTCGAGGATCGAAGACGTCAATATTAATAATTATTCTAATTATCCTATAATTACCCTTCAATAATTAATAAATCAAATTTTTAAAAATATTTTTTTTCGTTGCAGTCAAAATTAGGCTATTTTCAGATCATTTTTAGGCAATTTCGGGACAAATTTTGACTTATAAAAGTCCATTTTTAATAATTTTCAGCCAATTTTTCAGCAATTTGCTAACACCTACCGTTATCATTGCAGCCATTTCATCACTAGTCAATCCAGTCACCGGCTTCACTTCCTCATGCTTCTTTGCTGTCAATTTTGGAGATACGGATTTCGATTTTTCAGATGGCGTAGAGGATTCAGAAGACGACGTCGACGGTTTGAATGTGGCTTCGGAGACTTTTGCGAACAGATTAGTCATCGTCGACATTGTCACTTCGAAGTCAACGTCTTTGGATGTGGCTACTGATGCGGTCATGATGTGTTCTGAAAGAGATGGGGTTACTGTAGTTTTGAGGGAAGGGCTACGGTAGTTCTAGAGGAAGCTCTGCAGGCTCTGGAGGAGGATTACTGTAAATTTGCGACTACTGTAGTTAAAGGATTAATGCAGTAAAATGATCACTGTAGTTTTAGGAAGATTACTGTAGCTTTAAGAAAACTGTGATTTTTGGATTACTGTAGTTTTGGGCACATTCTTTTGACATGACTTTGAGAAATCTCTCGAAAAATTTTCGAGACGAATTCATCTTGAAGTGGTGGCCTAACTTTTTCAAGTTTGGTTTTCTAGACCACCACGTTAAAATGGCCTAAAAACACGTTAAAATCTCAGAAAAAAAGAAGACATCTTTCTACTGTAAATAAATTCAGGATTACTATAGTCCTAGGGTTATTGTAGTTTGAGGATTACTGTAGTTTTAAGATTACTGTATTATGGTATATTTACCCGTCATGCTCCTCCTTGAATTCTTCCGTCTCTCCGGTGCACCCATTCGCCTTAACAGCGATGATCTCTCAACGATAGCCACTGCCACCGACACAATCATCGTACTCGTCGTACAATTTTCCATATTCGACTGCTGTCTTTCTGTCCAATCGGCACTTTTTCGACGACCATCATACAGTTCGCATAGACCACCACCTTCGCGGGTACTGTAGTTTGTCGCGTATTTTACGTTCTTCTCGTCTTCCTGAAAGATTTCGGGTTAGTTCGGTGGTACTGTAGCCGGCAAAAAAGCTAGTAATCCCAATCAACTTCCAACCTGATAAACGGGTCCTTTCGCCTTTTTCAACATCACGTCCATGATTTTCCACACATCAGAATCAGAGATCGGCATGTGTGGAACTCGAACGGGTACGTATGGTTTGTCCAATGAGACCGGGATGATGGCGTTTGCCGGATAACGACACAGTGGACATGCCGCTTCGCGGCGTCCCGTGTTTGCTTGGATTTCGTGCTGGAAAAATTAGAAATTATAAGTTGAAATTAATCCAAAAAATTTGATTTTCTGCAAAGTTACAGCTATTTGTAACCAGTGGTCTAGATAAAACGGTCTCAAAAACCTACCAACGACGCTCGATAGGCGTTGAAGCACTCAATGTGTGCCACGTGTCCGCACGTCTTCAAATCCATTCCAACCATCGGCGGAATGACTCGAAGAATCTCCGGTTGCTCCGTATTCGTTTGACTCAGTTTTCTCTTATCGGCATAGTGACGACGTGTCTCTCGTTGAGGCAGATTCTCTTCGTCATCTTCTACAGAATCGTAATCCAAAAGTTCAGCGATCGGTGGAAATGAGGCGTCGATTTGTTCTTCACAAACGAAGTTCGTGGAGAGCTGCAATTTTTAGGATTCGTTGGATTTTCAGAATTTCAGAGTTTTCAGCCATTTTCAGTAGCCCATACCTTAGCCAACATTCCAAATGGCATTTCTACCGTATTCGGTGTCTCCAACTCTCCACAAATCGGACATTCGTACATTTTTCGATTCTGTTGACTGGGATCCTCTGTACTAACTTCATCAGCACTCATTCCCTCCGTCGCCATCAGCTTTTTCATTGTGGCCGCCGATTTTTTGGCGGATTTCAGCATAATTGCGTCCATCCGTCGTTTTGCAGCCTCCTTTGCCGCTTTTTTGCCTGGATCGAGTGGGGATTTTCGATTGGCCGATTGAGATTCTTCACGAGCGGCGAGCAGGTCAAGACGGTGCTCTTCTCTGATCAGTTTTTCCTGAAAAATGAGATTTTTGGGTGGCCTAGGATTTCAATTCGGCCAGAAAGGGGGCTTCTTGGAGTGCTAGATCAACTTTTGAATCCGGGGGTTTTGGAGCTAGTTTCATAATTTCAAAATCGCGTTTTAAAGCCAAGTTATGGCCATTTTCCAGTGGTGGCCTAGAAAATCAATTTTTCTAAAAGTTAGGCCACAAATTGTGGTGGCCTAGAAATTTTAAGAAAGTTAGGTCAAGCGTGTTTTGGGCGTTCCGTAACGAGTTCGAAAGTTTTAAATTTTCGAATTCGAAATTAAGCTTTCTGGTGTTTTCAGAACATTCTTCAGATTAAAAGATTTTCGATTTTTAGCAAAGTTACATCCTTTATGAAACAATTGGAATCGATGGCCTAGAAAACCAAAATTTGGGAAAGTTCGGCAACCTATGTTTTAAGCCAAAAATTGGAGTTTCTAGGGATGTAAAAGAAGTTTCAAAATTCGAAAATATCAATTTTGAGCAAAGTTGGGACCATTTTTGTCCTGTGGCCTAGAAATCCAATTTTCTAGGCCACTGGTTACAAGTGGCTGTAACCTTGCTGAAAATCATCTTTTTCAAATTCTAAAACCTGTTTCAGAATCAGCAAGACATTTTAGACGTTTGAAATTAAAATCTATAGCTAATTAGAGGTAATTAATCTTAATTAGTGCCCCACAAACCTGAACTAGTTCTCGTGTCGTTGGTGATATTGAAACCATAATCGACATAAATCTTGCCAGATAAACCAACTTTCCACCGGTCACTTTTTCACGATCATAGTCTCCAGAGAGAATTTTTCGGAATATTGGAATTAGTTGATCCGACTTTTTGGCCTCCATTGTTAGAATTCTAAGCATAAAAGTGGAAATTGTGGCCAAGAAATCCAATTCATCTTTTTTGAGCAGCTTGAATGGAGTATGGAAGATATCAATCATTTGGTCGCGAGTCTGGAAATCGATTAGATGGTTTTTAATGATTTTTTTAAAAAACGGTTTTCCAGAATTCTGACCTCGTTCTCTCCCTTAAATCCTTGTACATATTTCACAGCCAATGTCATCAAAAAGACCGCCAATTGAATCGTACAATCATGTAATTTAACTTCCTGATCATGTTCCGACGCCAAAACCGCCACACAGTGCAACAAGAATCTCTCGGAAAGGAGGAAATTATAGATTTTCGAAATTCCCGGATTCCTCTTTTTTTCATCAAAATCAATCAGCCGAAATGGTACCCAGAATCGTTCATCTGGATGCATTTGAACGCCACTGTCGACGGAATTCTTCTTTTCTCTCGCTTGCATTTTTGAGAAGACCTCTCGTGCCTGTTTAATAGACGTGGAACGCATCATGAAGAACACTGGACACACTTCTGAATCCCATATTGACGTCTTCAGTTGGTAGGATCCTTGTTGGAGGTGATTCGCGCATTCCATTGGCTCAACAAAGTCACCGATCTAAAATAGTAATTCAACACTTTCAGAGTTTTTTTAAAAAACTCGTTCATGGTCGAATTTTTTCAAAAATGTGGTTTTCTAGGCCACCATTTAAAAATCATACCTCCATCAGAATCCTCTCAAAATGCTTATCGATATTCTCGCTTCCTCTTGATCCTTTCTCAGAAATCGACGCCCGCAGTCGGGAATACGGTACATTTCCCATCGCCATACAATTCACCATCTCGGAACGATAGTGATCTTCAGAAGATGCTCCAGAATTCACACGGACCACGATGAGTTCGGCGACGAGCTGAAAACGGCATTTTCAGACTTTTAGATTCCAACACTGAAATTTTCAAGAACCAATACCACTATTGAAATTCTCATGCCCTTTTCCCCCAACACTGAATTTTGTAGCCTCCTAGCTCAAAGTGTCGTAAGACGTGGTGTTACTGTAGCTTGGTGTTTGCACACAATGCACCTTAGCTTACGACACTTTGCTAGGAGGCTGAAAATTTCAGGGTTGGGGCAAGAGAGCATGGAAAATCGAGTGGTGCTTTCAGTTTTTCATTAGGCATAAACCAGTGGCCTAGAAAATCGGTTTTCTCGGCCACCGATGTCCATTTCGCATACCTTAAACATTCCCCAGAACATTGGATCAATCCACGCGTGTTCTCTTATCACAACCCTCCTCTCAACATCCTCATCGTCAAAAATCGTCGGATCGAATTCTCGATCCTCTTCTATTTCTCCATCTGGTGCCACGCCGGCCGCAGCCAGATGACGTCGAATGAATTCGCCAACAATTGGCATTCGAGGATCACGATTCTGCTGGAATGGACTCGCGATACGGTAGTCGATTGACAGCTCTGTTGCAAACGATTCGGCGATCATTATGCTGAAAATTAAATTTCAATTCTAGTTTTGAACGCTGGAATTTTCGAAAATCAATACCACCATTGGATTTCTCCTGCTTTCTTACCCAAACTCCGAAATTTTCAGATTTTTAGCTCAAAGTGTCGTGAGATGTGGTGTTACTGTAGTTTGGTGTTTGCAGACCAAACATCATAGCTTACGACACTTCGAGATAGAAAGCTGAAAATCGCAGGGTTGGGGTAAGAAAGCATGAGAAATCGAACGGTAAACTCAGTTTTCAAAAACCTTGAACCAATGGCCTAGAAAACTGGATTTCTAGGCCACTGGATAGACTACTCACTCCATAACCTCCTGATGCATTCTCACATCATCTGGATTCATTCCATCCGTATATCCCAAAATACTTCTCTCAATCAGTATCGCATTATCTCTTATCAGCCGTCGATACTCTTCCAATGCGAAATTCTTCTCCTCGGGTACAGTATCCCTTTGTAGTTTGCCAACTCCTTCGAGAATTTTTCGCGATTCTTCAGATGATTCCACATAGTTTCCACGACGAATCTCAATAGATTCTGTGAGATTGAAGCTTGTCGTTAGGGCTTTGGCAAAGTGTTCCTTATCGATATGGGCGGCACACCAACGAATCAAATCCACGTCAGGAGTCTGGAAGTCAGATTTCAACAATGGAATTTTCAAAAACCAATAACACCATTGAATTTCTCATGGCCTCTTACCCTCACTATGAAAATTTCAGCCTTCTAGCTCAAAGTGTCGTAAGATGTGGTGTTACTGTAGCTTGGTGTTTGCGTACCTTACATCAAAACTTACGACACTTCGAGCTACGAAGCTGAAATTTTCAGCGTTGGTGAGCATGGGAAATCTAATGCTGTTTTCACATTTCAAAAATTTCGCACCGGTGGCCTAGAAAATTGAATTTCTCAACCACCATTTTTTTAGGGCAATTTAGAATCATTTTCAGTCATTTTTACCTGAAAAGCACTGCTAACATTCCATTGCGAATAAATCAGAGCCGACATTCTTGCTTGTGCTCCATTCCGAACCCACATATTACAATTGATTTCCGATCGTGCCACCTGGATTCTGATTGGATGTAAAATCAGCATTCGCATCATTGTTTCATCTTTTAAGAGTGTCGATTCGATGTATTCGCTGAATCCATCGAGTTCAGTGAAGTGGGTTAGCGCCGTAGAGATGTGTCTGGAAGGAAAGTTTCAGATTTCCCCGCTAGAATTTTCAAAATCCAATACCACCAGTGGATTTCCCGTGCTTTCTTACCCCAACACTGAAATTTTCAGATTTTCAGCTTGAAGTGTCGTAGGATGTGGTGTTACTGTAGTGGGCTGTTTGCAGACAATGCACCATAGCTTACGACACTTTGGGCTAGAAGGCTGAAAATTTCAGGATAGGGGTAAGGGCTCATGAGAAGTCGAATAGTAATCTCCAATTTTGTAAATTCTGAACCAATGGCCTAGAAAAATGGATTTCTCGGCCACACCAACCTGTGCAATGGAATATGAAATGACACCGTATAGGCTTGTGCTCTCAACAGTTGACTCCATTCCGCTACTCGTTGCTCTTCCCCGTCCGAAATTGGCCAAAGTACATGAAACCAGTTTTCCAAATTTTGAATGACATGATCGAAGAATTTCTTCGCTGCTTCCAGATTTTTCTCCGTTTGAATTGCCGCCACAATGTTGAAAAGTGTGACTGCGAGTGTCTCGAATTCCAGAGTGTACGCTCTGTAAGTACTGATCGATTCGTGTAAATCAGGATTTTTTTCGGAATTTCAGATTTCAGCAATGAAATTTTCAAAAACCCATACTACTGTTAGATTTCTCATGCCCTCTTACCCCTATCCTGCAATTTTCAGATTTATAACTCAGAGTGTCGTAAAATGTGGTGTTACTGTAATTTGGTGTTTGCAGACACATCACATCTTACGACACTTTGAGCTAGAAAGCTGAAAATTGCAGGATAGGGGCAAGTTGGAATGAGAAATCCAGTGGTAATCTCAGATTTCGGAAATTGCGAGCCGGTGGCACAGAAATTTGGAATTTCGGAGAAGTTTCCAGACTTCAACGCTGAATATTTCAAAAACAAATATCATCCTTGAATTTCTCATGCTCTCTTACCCCAACTATGAAATTTTCAAATTTTTAGCTCAAAGTGTCGTAAAATGTGGTGCAACTGTAATTTGGTGTTTGCGTACCGTACCTCATATTTTACGACACTTGGAACTAGAGAGCGGAAAATTGGAGGATATGGGTAAGGAGAGATGAAAAATCGAATTCTGCTTTCATATTCCGGAAATTTTGAATCAATGGCCTAGAAAATTGAATTTCTAGACCACCGCTTGAAATTTTCAACCATTTTCAAGCCTTGAAAATGGTCGCAAGGCTCATAATCAATTTTCAGCTAGAATTTGCAAACTTTCCAAGTTTTCAGCTCAATTTTCAAGATTTCAAGCAAAACATTTCAGTTGTTCAGTCATAATTTTCAAATTTTCAGCCCCAAAATTCTCAGATTTCCAGCCAAATTTCCTTACCTCTGCACCTCTTCCTCTCCATCTCTCTCCTGTGCATTTCCGGAAATAATTCTCCACTGCGGATTCATTCCCTGCATTTCACACATCATTCTCATATAGGCACCACCGAAACATTCCTCATCGGAAATCGAATCGACTGCTAGGTTGGTATGCGTGAGCACATTCTGAATGTCTCCCATCACGAACCAATAACCATGTTGACTGATTGCCTGGAATTGGAAATCATATAGACTGGAATTTTAGGATTTGTTTCAAAATTCAAAAAAGTCAATTTTAAGCGATTTTTTGTCCCTCTTTTGGTGGTAGCTTAGGAACCCGAATTTTGAGAAAACTAGGTCATGGACTCCACAAATCGATGATTCGTATTCTGAAGTGTTCAAAACGAGTTTAAAATTCTTCAAATCTCAGTTTTCAGGCAAGTTATGATACCTTTTAGGTGATGTCATAGAAAACCAAAAAAATCAACTACCGTAAAACCTCTAATAGAACGACACCGTCCACTTTGAGCCTATATATCTCACTTCTTTTGAAAG